TCTTCGCAGACTGTTGTCACTTAAAAAGTACCATGTTTAGTAAGTCCCTTTCGGAAGAGCAAGTTCACGAACTTATGCATTAGCCCAATATTTGTTCGCGCGAACGGTATGCTGAAAGTTTGCCTCTTTGCACTTTGAAATTTTAAAGGGATCGTTAGGAACGTTGGTCCAGCTGTTTCTCAAGGCAGGTCTTCGTGCCCGTGTGTTCGTTGTTATGGTTGATCGAGAGGGAAACACACGGGGGCGTAGGGTGGAAACTGCAAACGTAGGAAGCGTGGCCCAGCTGCCGATGTCAACGATGCCAATTTCTTACGCACGCGGAAAAGAAACGTACGTGGGAAACTTGACCTGGTTATATTCTCAATAACGGGGAACCCGGCACGTTTCTCAGGAGCAACGCGAACCACGACGATCGATCTCGCGACGACGTATACGACGTCAAAGCGGTCTCCGAGTGCAACGCGATGCTACGAATGCGTTTAGAATTTCCTACAATATCGCGCGAATTAACGTAAACGTAAACGATTGTTCGAAGTTTTTACGGGTACGGAATATCCATAATTATCGTTGTTACGACTGTTTCCGCGATAACGATAAAGCGTGCAGGACTGTACAATCTGTTGTATCCGTACTGGATGATAGTATGTATGTCATTGTCAAACGACTATCGTCGAAACTCCGAATACAGTAAGTCTTCCTACGTCGATCGTTAGAGATTTCAGGAACGATTTCATTAAAATTGTAAATTCAATGTATTTTATTTTACAAAAACAATTTTTTCGTAATACAAATTTTAATTTGCGTGCAATTTTTAAGCGGTGACGAAGTCGAAGCAAATATTGACGAATGTTACGTGTTTAAAGTTCGACGACAATGGATGCAAATGTTATATAAAGCGTCGCGAGTAAACGAACGACCACCGCGTTATTCCGTGTTACGTTTTAAAGGTAAAATATATACAATTTCAATTACGTCTCTCGGACGCTTTATAGAGAATTCCGCCGCTTAGATCGCGTTTGTTACAAATGCCAACGTATTTTGCGAGATCGTTAACCTTTCAAGCGATACTTTTCTTACGTTCGAACGCTCTGCGATCTCGACAATACGTAATCGATAACTGTCCTTTATAACTGCACATTTTGGGTATATTTGCCTGCTTTTATTTTGTTTTATATATGTTAAATATTTTCGAAACTGTTGATCATATTAAAAATGTTTCAGACAAAAGTTAAATTTTGAAAAATCACATATGCCAATGTGAATAAGTCTTTTTTAACTTTGTATATCAATAAGTAAATAAATAAAGTAGATCATTATTGTTCAGTAAATTAAACAATTAAAAATGGAATAGAAAATTTTCGCGTTGGTCGTTCCGACGAATCGTATCGCGAGACTACTGTATCAATTTGTATTTCGTTGGGAGGAATCTGTGGTGGTATGATTCATTCCTGAGTGGCCTCGTCGCCGTTGATAAGATTGCAGGTTTCATCCTCTTCCTACTTTCACATAAATGCATTGACTAATTTGAAGTTTGTCGGATCGACTCATCGTTAAATTCCGATCGTCGTATCTATCGAGCGTTTCCAATTTACTTTTTTCGATCATAGACGATACGAGTGTATTAATCGTACTTACGCTATAAAAATCAACGATGATTTAATTCGTGTTAACGACTTATTTAATCGACCGGACTATACGTTATTCGATATCGAGGGAGAAGTAGGTACGAACCCTTTAAGTTCGCGAGTGCGCTGTTAAATTTGATTTATTCGCGCTGTAATAGACCGTGGCGAAGTTTTAATGTCGCGGAGCGTGTGGTAAAAAGTTGCGTAGTTCGAAGATTGAAACGAGTCGTGGGTGGAACGCGACAGAAGCCGTAGATCGGTGGACGGTTGGCAAAGCTCAGACAACATGTGAGCGGACTGCATTTACACAGGCGCCAAAGCTTCCCTGATACTTCTGCAATACGACTGAGCTACGATGGAAGTGCCTTTGGGGCTATCGTTTCGCACGTTCAGAGAATATTCCACGATAAACGTTAGATCGTCGAGTAATTTTTGTCCGCTGGGGACAAGAAAATCAAATATTTACTTTTTAAAAACACCTGCTGTTCGGAATCGAACCACGCGCATATTGTATACTTAGCACGTTACGTTATTAGATGAAGTTTCAAAACATATTTTATTGTTGGCCAATTGTACACTATTTTTACAACGATCGACGATTAATAATTATTATTAGCTTCCTTTAACCGGAAATTATAAAAAATGTTACAAATTTTAGGAAATCTTTAAGTATACAAGAAATATGGAACACAAGATTGCTCTTTTTTTGCTTTACCTTGATATCAATTTGAAGGTAAAGAAGTTCGACACGGATGTTGGTCGGTGAAGGAACGGGATATTCATGAATGAAACTTGAAAATTTGCGTAGCTAATTACAGGTTACGTAATCTGTTAGAATCGTGAGAGAACTGAAAGCATTAATTAATTCGTGAAAAAAAGGGAAAGTCAGGCATTCTCATCTTTTAGAGTCCGGCGATTGTCGCGTGTAAATTCAACCGGGAGCAGTTCATTCTCTCGTTCTGGACACCCTTTCAATTAACAAGCTGCGTGGGAACCCGGCAGGATTCCGCTTTTTCTATGCCTTTCCGTGTGTAAGACTTAGGAGCATAATCGTTATTTGGTATGTAACGTAGAAAGCATGGGAACTCCGCTTCAATGGATGAAATCAAACGTCGGGAATGTTCATCGTGAAAGACGAACTTTGAGTGATGATAGAGCAGACTGAAATGGATGCTACAAGCCCGGTTAACTGAAACGTCAGAAAAACATTTCGTATGCACCGATCGAATAGAATTACTCCCGTTATTATAAGTTACGATTTAGGAAAAGGTCGCGTTACGAAATCCCTCAATTTGCGAAGACGAGTTTACCGGGATACTCATAATTGTGCAATTCGATGTTGCACAGTCAGCAAACCTCGAGACGCAAAAATAAAAATAACCACGATGAGCGTAACCTGGCATTAGCAAGCATTTCTCAACGATGGTGGAATGGTTTTCGTGGCACATAAACGCCTGGAATGGAAACGAGCGTAATCTTATATTTTGTAAATTTTAAACGCGCGAATTACTTTTCACCGTATTTTTACGCGGCGTATCACTTTTCGAAGCATTGCAAATTAGTGATCGAATAATTATAGAATCAACAATATCGAGAATCACGCACGAAATGAGTCATACGAGCAATCACATTTTCTCAATAACTGATATCGCATGGTCGTTATCTTTTATCAAATAAATAATACATTATATTAATGAAAGTTATAATCGATATAAATCGGTTTAAAAAATAACAGTTCGATATAAGCAAATTTTGCTTTCGTCTGAAAATATTACACGTTCTCAAAAATAAATCTCTTCAAAGAGATTAATATCATAAATATCAATTTTTCTAAATTCTTTCTTCACGAGCGAATATCTTTCTCAGCAACTCCATTTGATCTTCTGTTTTCAATTGCGTGCTGTGCCGTGGACTGGCTCCTATATTTTAAATTTACAATCTCCGAGTAGGACTTTCCTTCTTTATGCCAGTTGCAGATTGAATTCCTCTCTGTCATGGAAAATTCATTTCCTATTCGTTCCATCTTTGACTCCGCCAGATTATTGCAATGCTATACTGCACACTGAGATACAGAGTGTATTACGTCGGAAAAAAAACAGAAATTCACTTTTGTGAATGCAAATAAATAAAATAATCCATATCAGAATATATTTTAATAAAAAGAAAAATTAAAAATAATTATCTTGAATTTTTGAATCTTTAGTTGTGAGATTTTTTGGACTTGACATCCTTCGACCAGTGTCTTGCGTAACAGTTGACACGCAAGATTGGATCGTCAGAGTTCAGAACTAATTTTCACATCGTTCTAAGCGTAGTTGACTCACCTATTGCGACCATGTCGTTGTCCCGCTCAAGGACAGTGTACGCTTCGAAAATTTCTCTATTTCCTGCGGTCTTTGTAACCAGCTCTTTGAAGGAAAGGTAACCGAAGAAAAGGAAACAGTGTGGGAAGGAAAACACACGAGAGAATGTTGAAAATTACCGTTGCTCGATATTCGTTCAGATCACGTAATGCTTCTTCTGTCCGAACACCGTGCTCGGTAACAGTACATTTTGTCATTTCGTGCCTCGTTTGTGTTACCGTTACCGATTCCTTTGTCACATCAATGGAAAACCACGGTTCACTCGTATCCATTTCAATAAGCAGTTTCTATGGTATACGAAAAAATTCGAATTGGGAATTTTTTCCGATCTCGAGTCTTTTTAAATAGATACTTTAATATTTTACTAAGTGAAAATCACTTTAAAATTAATTCTCGATTTATTCCGTGCCGTGAATTCTGCCTGCTGTGATTGTCCTTGCGGAGAGACGCGTTTCCCTGTTTGCGGTTACGGAGTAATAACAGTTAACACGATAACCAATCCAGATTTGGCGCACTCAGCGTAGAAATCGATATGGCTGTATTGCCGACCTCATTTTCATACGTAGTACCACTCGCAAAAAAGGAAAAAGCGGGTCATCTTTTCAGAAGCAGGAGAATTAGATGCTAAGTAATTAACTCGTACGAGCTCGCTCGAGCCATTGAAAAACGTGCTTCGCGCCTAGTACCATGATTACGGGCACGGTGCTTCAGTCTTGAACGTCGTACGTACTAAACTTGCGCCACAGCGACGAGAAAAAATATTTAAAAGATTCCCATTATACTCTCGAAACTGGTTTTGGGCGACTTACGATAAACGTTGATAGTTTTTCAAACCGTGAACGTAAAAATGTGTTGATTTTAAGTATAACATGTAGCCTCATAATTGTTAAACTTGATATTAAGAACTAGTGACTAGTCAGACTCGTCACTGTAAGGCAAGGGGTTAATTGTTCCCCTTTGATTGTAGTTAATGTTAAGACACGATCGTTAACGAAACACCTGTGTTCTCCAGGGTGGTAGAGTATGGGTACCACATCCGGAAAAGGTTTGGGAAGGCGCGGTGCTCCTGGAGGATTACAAGCTGAACCAGCCGCGGTTGAAGGTCCACACGGACGACTCGAACCAAACGAAGACTCTGGAAATAAAATCGGACGCTGACCTTCCGCCCCTGAGGAATCCCGATATACTCATAGGGGAGAATAATTTGACGTCGTTGTCGTTCCTTCACGAGCCGGCCGTCCTTTACAATCTCCAGATACGGTTCCAACGACATTGCATTTACACGTACTGCGGCATCGTTCTGGTCGCCTTCAATCCGTACAATGAGCTGCCCATTTACGGAAATGATACGATTTGGGCGTACAGAGGTCAGGCGATGGGCGACCTGGAGCCCCATATATTCGCCGTCGCCGAAGAGGCTTACACGAAATTGGAAAGGTTCAAGTCTTTCATTCAACAATTTTTCTTCCCGACGCTTTGACGACTATCTCCCCCATTTCCGTGTCATTCGCGAAATTTCCAACGAAAGGAAGCTTCCAAACTTTAGATCCGAGAACACGTCTCATATACACGTCGTATATCATGAAATAAATTTAAATTCATTTGAAATTTAAAAATTATTAACTACTCGAGAATAATGTAGAAAAAGAGTTTATTTTAGAAGTTTCCCTGTATCCCTAATAGTTTTTAAAATAGCATCAGGGGATAGACTTTGAAGGGTAGTCTCGTCCCTCGAACTTGAATAACCGTAACGAAAATACGTATCAAATCGTACATTATTTCGGCAGGGACGTTTCGCGTATATTTCTAGCGCGGGACATTTCCGTAAAGATGAGTTTTAAATATTGTAACGTGAACGTAGGGAGGGTCACGATCAGTCCATCATCGTTTCCGGTGAGTCAGGCGCCGGAAAAACGGTATCTGCGAAATATACGATGCGATATTTCGCCACTGTCGGCGGCTCGACGACGGAAACGCAGGTCGAGAAAAAGGTCCTCGCCTCTTTGCCGATCATGGAAGCGATCGGTAATGCAAAAACAACGAGAAACGATAACTCCTCGAGGTTCGGCAAGTTCATTGAAATTCAGTTTAACAAGCATTACCACATAACGGGGGCCAGCATGAGGACTTACCTCCTCGAAAAATCGAGGGTCGTATTCCAGGTATGCCGATACACTCTTAGGGGCCATAATCGTAACTATTTTTCGTACAATAGTATGTACGACTATTCTTGATACGACCATTCGAACAATAATTTTAATGGGGTTGCTGAACAATTTGATAAGCAGAATTTTATTATTCGGTATTTAAAATTTGTATCAAATCAGAATTTTTTAGGTATTACGATTATCATTGGAATTGGATGTATAACTATTGTACAATAAATCGTTACGTATGTGGCTCCTATAACGTTCACGTGGCCGTCGATGGGTCTATTTATACCCAGGAATCAGGTTTTCTTCGCTCGCGTTGATCCTTAATGTTCCACGATGTCCAGGTACCTAGTATGTACTCCTTATGAATCTTATGGATCGTATCTCCAGAAAAACAGCTACATTTCAATCACATTTTCATTTATTGTTAACAAATCTACATTTCTATTCAAATTGATCTGGCAATTTAGTCGTCATACCCTCCCTTATACATCACATTATTGATTTAGTGACAGTCGAAGAAGAATTCGAGATATCAGAACATAAGCATTTATCCGCTACTGAATCATCGATGCTTTTAAAATATCGGTCACGGGCTAGGCGACTACAGTTTTGCGTACAGTTATGTACACCTTCATCTTCAAATCCACTTTACATTTTCTCTTCGACATCTTCAAAACTATATTCTAGAGCGACGAAAGAAATCGAATATAAAATGTGTTTGCAATTCGTACAAAAAGTATTTTCCATTCTGCGAGTAAAAGGTGATGTCATCGAGAGTTCAATAAATTATATTTCATGTTTCCCTGGTGGGATTTTCAACAAAGATAAAACATACTTGTTTTGAGAAAATTAGATATGAACAGACTGTATTGAATAGAGTACAACTTGGGCATCAAGTAGAAATATTGAATAATGGAGAGTCGCGCCAGGCAAATTGTGTTCAATCGCACGGGTATTCAACTAGTTTTCAACTTCAATGATCTGCTACACGAATTATTATACGAAAAGATATTATACTGCAATTTTGACTAACTTAATCACGTGAAATCACGTAAATACTTATTATACCAGGAGCAGCGACAGAATCATACCTCCTGGGTCTGAAAGGATCCTGTAAAGATCCTACTCGTGAATTTTTCGTCGACGGCCATGCAATCGTTAACTATGTGCAGAATCGTACAGTACGGAATGTTTAAATCGAACGTTTCTCTAGGCAAACGAGGAAAGAAACTACCACGTCTTTTACCAAATGTGCGCAGCCGCGAGGCGACTTCCTCACTTACATTTAGGCCATCAGGATAATTTTCACTACCTGAACCAAGGAAACAATCCGGTAATAGATGGCGTGGAAGATTTGGCCTGTTTCGACGAGACGATTAACGCACTTACCATGCTCGGATTCACGTCCAAACAGCAGGACGATATGCTCCGTATTTTAGCGGCTATAATGCACATAGGGAACATTAATATACAGAGCTCCGAGGCTCAGAATTCGAACAACGATAAAGATACCGACGCCAGCTATATTCCCGTAAATATACATTTTTCGTCTCTCACAGAAATGCATTTTGCAACGTTGCCTATTTGATAATCGACGTTAACCCTTAACACTAGAATTACCGACATTGATAATGTATTTATTTGTACCAAAAGAAATTAAAGCGATAGATACTCGAGAAATGTACAATGCAATGGAAATAAATGTTTACTCATTCTTGTACAGAAAGCCACAGAGTAAATTTTTTACAATTTTTTATTAGAAATTACTTAGTTTGGTAGTTCTAGTGTTAGTCGTACTTTTCTCTGTTTCATTTATTTTTGTGGTCCTTAAAAAATAGTAAGTCTACTGTTTTAAGGGATGCACTTCGAAATTACGTACTGTTGCATATTGCATACCTTGTATTTGTTATTTTGACATTCACGATGCTGAAACTAGCGATTTAGTATTTCGTCATGTTTCAGTGAAATGTTAATTTTTTGTATTTTGCAGCCGTCAGACAAGCATCTGTTGACGATTTGCGAGTTGTTAGGCACCGACGTGAGCGCGATGAGAAAATGGCTGTGCCATAGAAAAATCGTATCGATGAGGGAGGTGTTTCTGAAACCGATGAACGTGGAGCAAGCGATCGGCGCAAGGGACGCGCTGGCCAAGCACATTTACGCGGAACTGTTCAGTTGGATCGTGACTGGTATCAATAATTCCTTGCAATCCAAGAACAAACCCCAGTGCTTCATCGGCGTGCTCGATATTTACGGGTTCGAGACGTTCGAGATCAATTCGTTCGAGCAGTTTTGCATAAATTACGCGAACGAAAAGCTCCAGCAGCAGTTCAATCAGCACGTCTTCAAGCTGGAACAGGAGGAGTATCTCAAGGAAGAGATCGAGTGGACGTTCATAGACTTCTACGATAACCAGCCCTGCATCGACCTGATAGAAACGAAGCTGGGTATCTTGGACCTGTTGGACGAAGAGTGCAGAGTCAGTAAGATTCCTTCCCGCGTCTCTCTGACGTTTTGATCAGACGAGAAAAGACCGATCCGCGCGATCGTTAACCAGCTGTTTTAACGACAGATGCCGAAAGGTTCGGACAGTTCCTGGGCTGAGAAGCTGTACGCGAAGTGCGGGAAATTGAAGCACTTCGAGAAGCCACGTTTCGGCACCTCCGCTTTCCTGATCCATCATTTCGCGGATCTGGTCCAGTACGAGACAGTCGGGTTTTTGGAAAAGAACAGGGACACCGTCATCGAGGAGCAGATCGACGTGCTACGAAACGGAGATGTGCGTAAAATCGATTTGGCAATACCGATAGGTTTGGTCCAAGAAGCAATAGTACTGCGTTGCGTATCAGATTTATTAATTGGGCTCATCGATTACCTAGTGGATCCTGCCTCGGGCGCGACGCTATTAATCGCTCAAACAATCTGTTAAACTAATTGTCTGGTAATGAACTATCGAGCAATTGGAATCTGTCCAACGATCGATGAATAGCGTCACGCCTGATGCAGGGTCTGCTGGATAATCCTTATCGATGGGTGCATATAGCAGATTCGTAGCGAAAGGTAGCAAATGAAAATATTATTTAATAGGCGACACAATATAATAATCGTAGAAAGGATTACTTTTATTTATTTAATTGCAACGTTAATATTAAATTCCATTCAAAAAATCAGCGACTACGAGGTGCGCCTGTATACTTTGAACATAAAGCAAACACCGTGGGCTATTTATTTATATACTTTGACTTAGGTTTATATAGTTTTGTCGGTAAGTTGAGAATCTTTTATCGTTTCAGAATAAACTGTTGAAGAAGTTGTTCAGCGAGGAGGATCCGAAGCTCGCGGTACCGACGAACGTGAGAGTTAAAATTTCCGCTCAGAAGCCATTATTGAACACGCCCAAGCAAAATAAGAAAACGGTAATCCTTACGGACGATAGAACGTAGCTGTTGTTTGTTCTTACGCGAGTCATACGTCGGACAATGCAATTTATGCCCGGTTAACGAAATCTGTAGGTGGGATCGCAGTTCCGAGATTCTTTGAATATGCTGATGGCGACGTTAAACGCGACCACTCCGCATTACGTGCGCTGCATCAAACCGAACGAGACAAAGGAAGCTTTCGAGTACAACCCCGTTCGCGCGGTCCAGCAATTACGAGCTTGCGGTGTACTGGAAACAATCAGAATATCCGCGGCCGGATTCCCCAGTCAAAGAACGTACAGTGAATTCTTCCTTAGGTACAGATGTCTGTGCAAATTTAAGGACATACGACGCGACGATCTCAAAGAGACCTGCAGACGCATATTGGCAAGGTCGGTCATCTTTTGCTTCCTATAACATTGTTTTAAGTATTATGCAGGCTGTCGACAACGATATATAGTATTAAAACGGAAGTGAAATTAATAACAGACAGAATGAATTGTAAACAGTATCTTGAAATGATAAACGAGGAGATAGATATGTTACAAGAATTGGCAAAGATAAATATATTTATCAGTACGATAATTCCGTCGTACAAGAGTAGTAAAGAAGTACTTTGCTTCGAAAAACATGCGAGTTTTGATCTATGGAATTGTTACAACTTGCCAAAGATTTGAAACAGTGCATTCAGGACAAATGGAGGAGTCTGGGTCGAAAAAGTATTGCAGAACAAGTATCGGAAATCATTAATTACTGTTCTATATTTTCTGGAAGCGATTAGACGATTGTTTTAAACTAAACTACCCCATAAAAAGAATTTGTTCAAGAGTTCTCGTGATTACTATACGTTTTCCTTTCGTGCGTTGGAAAGTAACTATAATATTGAATGTACAGTACCGTGTACTTTAAAATTCTCGAGCCCTTGCATTTTAACCCTCTGCATTCTATTCAAAGTCTGTGACAAATTGAAATTAACGCTTCAGGTATATCAAGGATGAGGACAAATTCAAATTCGGCAAAACAAAGGTCCTCTTTCGGGCTGGTCAGGTGGCCTATTTGGAAAAGCTTCGGGCCGAGCGGCAGCGCGACGCTTGCATCATGATACAGAAAACAGTACGCGGTCTAATATATCGTAACAGATACGGTAAGATACGACGAGCCGTGCTTGGCCTTCAGAGGTACGGCAGGGGTTACATCGCCAGGCAGAAAGCTCGAGCCGTGAGGGAAGAAAGGGCCGCGATAAAGATTCAAGCTCACGTGAAAGGTTGGCTGAAGAGGCGTCGATACGTCCAAATAAAGCGCACAATTATTGGCATTCAGACGTACGGCAGGGGTAAAATGGCGCGGGAGAGGTACAGGTTGATGAAAGACAACGCTGCCGCGACGGTAATTCAGCGATTCTGTCGTGGATACCTGGCGCGGATGGCGTGCAAACAGAAACTGAAGGATATCGTCATCGCCCAAGCTGCCGTGAGAAGATACCTGGCGAAGAAAATGTTCCGAAGATTGAAGGCTGAGGCGAGGAGCGTGGAGCACGTGAAGTCCTTGAACAAAGGATTAGAGAAGAAGATCATCATGTTGCAGCAAAAGATCACCGATCTCGTGCGTTACCCTTTCTCGTTGTTGTTTGAATCTTTATGAGGTTGATCATAGAAACGAACGTTGTAATTCTCTGTTCCTTTTTTTTTTTTTAGACAAAGGAAAATCAAGGATTGAAGAACGTTCAAAACGAAATAGTGGATCTGAAACACAAGCTGGAGGCGCTAAAAGCGGTAGATGTTGAGAATAAGAAACTGCACGTCACGCTGTTGGAGAAGGAGAAAGAATTGGATAAGATGCAAGATTTGATAAAGGTTGAAAGGGACGAAAAGATGGACATTTTGCAGGTACCTCGAATACGTAGAATTTGAATCTGACAGGATATACGTTGTCGCGCTAAATTCGATATACTTTTGTTAGGACAAGGAAAAAAGCAGTCTCGAGAAGCAGAACGAGAACGAGAAGCTCCAAGATCAACTCGAAAAATTACGAAAAGAGCTTTCGGTGGCTAACGAGAAACTGAAGAACAACCAACGCGGCGCTGAAGAGAACTTGAAGCATCGTTTGGAGCAAGAGAAGGATCTACTCCTGCTGGATCAGGATCAGGATCGCGGCGCTTATCAGCGACTGTTGAAAGAGTATCACGAGTTGGAGCAACACTCGGAAATGTTGGAGCAGCAGCTCGCGATGCGCGCTCCCGCGCACTCTCGTTCTCTCAGCAATGCTTCCAGCGGTAGCGGGCAAATCATGTCCACGGAACTTCCGCCTGATGATCTGAATATCGTAAGATTTTCTAGCTTTTCATCTGGTGTTCCCTCTAAAGCGTTAAAGTCTATTTTCTTAGAAAGTATCAAGGATAACAAAAACAATTTTTACTCTAACTTTATCCGCAATACTTCTCGAGATAATAGTTTGTAAATCTTCAGAGGAAAGACTTACGTTGCTTCGTAACACGCTTTAATTTTATTCGCGCGTAATTTTGAAGGATCTAGGGTACGGATCGGTACGATCGACGGCTCCCTCTTCGACTGCTTATTCACGGGTAGAAACGATCGATTGGAATCAACAGCGATCGGATAGTCCATTGGATGGGGAGGTGCAATCGCATAAATCGCCTCCCGAGACGAACGGACCGGCACACGCGCCGGTGGACGTCGGTCTTGTCCTGAAACTTCAACAGAAATTGAAGGACGTTGAGAAAGAAAAGGGAAGATTGATTAGGATGGTAGAAGATTTGGAGCGCGACAATCCTGAAGAGACTTCGAGGACACAAGACACGTTCAGGGTAATTTTCTACGTCAGATAATGGTTGTAATGATTCGTTCGAATGGCTGTTGACACCGAGACCTCGTGTTCACAGCTTCAAGAACTCGAAATGGAAAACGCTCAACTGAAGAAAGATTTAGGTACGCTCAGGAAGTGCGTGTCCTCTGCAGGTTTACCAGGTGCACAACAGAATCTTATGGGTAATTTATTAACAATTCTGGCTCAGGAATTCTTGCATTATTTATTTCATCAGGTTCTATAACTTTAGTTTGCTTCTCTCCTTTCTTTGTATCTATTTAGTACGCTTGTACATATGTGCATAAATATCTGCTAATCTTTTCTTTCTATTTACTAAATGTATCCTGAAAAACCGAAGTTAGTTCGGTGTTACACTTTTGCTTTTGTCTCACGATTAATGACTTATTCGCACGTGGCTTCATATTATACGAGCCACTCTGTGTACATACTGTGCTTCAAAATTACGCATCGATTCGTATCATTGTCCATAATGATTGCAATAAATAAAAACCATTACAGCAAAATTGCGTTATGTTTCTTTGAATCACGCGATCATCCTTCGGAATGCATCCGACGAAACGGACAGGGCAAGGTGCGATAAATAATTTCCATTCTAGGGCAATTCGACGCGCTTCAGGAAGAGCTCGAGAGAAGAAGAGAAGAGTGCATTCAGTTGCACAGCGTGTTGGCCGATAACACGCGAAGAATGAAGAGCTTAGGCTCGAACTATGGCCGGGACGTGGACATTATAAACGAGGACGGGGAACTGGTGCTCGCGTTCGAAACGCAGAAAAAGATCAACAGGTAAATCGAGATTTCCCAGGGCGTGTGCCACCTTTTTCTTGATGAGAAGGAGAAGAGCACCGTGTCTAATCGTCGTTTTGTCGTTTGTGCATGCACTTCAATTTTCAGTAAACTTAAGACAAAGCGAAAGGCCTCGAGAGAGTGAGTTGAGAAGATATTTTGCCCGCGAATAGTCAGCGGTCTCGTTTACTGATCTTAACACTGTTCAATCGGGACAAATCGGCGCGCATGCTAATATATATGTACTTACGAATACACGAAACATGTAAACAGTTCGATGTTGGTTTAAAGAAATATTTCGATTATAAAACAGTCGAAAGTATTTTAAGCTCCCGCGTTTCTTTCGATTGAACAATTCTGAAATTAGTTGGAAATTTTAGCGGCGCGTTAAATGATCTTTTCTCGCTCTTCGTTTCAAAGACAATTAGAGGACGAGCTACAGACGAAAGAAAAAGGTTGGCGGGAGCAAAGAAACGAATGGCGGGCGGAAATCGACAGGCTGCAGGAAGAAATTGAGAAGCAACAGAAGTTGCTCTCCGTGAATCTGAGCAAATCGCCGCAGACTCAGAACGAGGCCTACATGCAGCACGAGATTGCCCGATTAACGTCCGAAAATTTGGTAAAAAAACGCACGAATCCTTTCAAAAACATCATGGCCGTTGATAGTTTTTAACAATTGTATCGATCAAACTTTAGGAACTGCAAGAGAAATATGACAAAATAGCAGAGGAATGCAGAAAATTCAAGAGACAATGCAAAATTCTCGCGAAACGTCTGCGAGATGCAGGTTGTGAGTATACGTTATTAAAAATAAATATGTGTTCGACTTTTTTAAATACTTATGAGAGAATACGGTACAACAGAACAGCGTAGCTTGTAAATCGGTATTAAAGTTGTATAATATTTCAATGCTTTCGAAGATGAGGGCGACGATAAGGAGAATAAGGATCGGCCTTATATTTCAAAGGGCGCCGGTGAGTGCGTGGTCCAGTGTTTTCACTTTCTTCGCACTTCGCGCAGACCATAACTCACCCTAGCTCATAAATCAACAACCATATCGTTCACGACGAAGTTAAAAAATAAGATGAAAATATTACTATATCGTATAAAAGATAGGTTGATAATTAATTAATATTTCAACTGCGTCGAACTCGTATGTAAACATACTGCCAATGGCGGCAACGATGCGCTTTTGAACTTATATTTTTGGCAATATTTTCATCTTACTTTAATTTATATAATACACTGTCACAATTCGATCGTTTATTTTAATTTGATCGAGGATGAAGTCACAAAATTTAATATTTTCTTGTAGTGCTGGATAACGCGGAACCAACGAGTGATCCGGCAATATCTTCCACTGGTAATTCAGGAGACAACGGTAGCAACATGCCAGCCATTCGAAAGAAAGAGAGGGACTATCAGGGCATGTTTGAGTGCAGCAAAGAGGACATTAACATAGTAATACGTCATCTAGTTATAGGTAAATTCACTCAATAATTCAGTATAGAATATATAGCCAGTCGACAAAGTCAAATTTGGTTACATACGCATGAAATTTCGGGGAAACATTTCCGGCCTCACATTAGATCTTCGGTAACGAATTTTTTTCTCGAAAATGTGTAGGATTTCGGGGGTATGTATATCGACCAAAAATGATTGTTATTTACCCCTGCAACCGAAAATAATTTTTTTAGAACGATTTGAAATTTTTTAATTTTGTCGAAAAAGTCCACCCACTCGAATTTTTTTCTCGAAAATGGTTAGGATTTCGGGGGTATGTCTATTGACTAAAAATGATTGTAATGGACTTCCGCAACCTAAAATAATTTTTCCGGAATGATTGGAAATTTATTAATAACTTTTTAACGAAGCCTCAATCAAGAAATTGATATTCTTGATTTTCGTCTTATTTTGCCCTCTAGAATCTCTCATTAAATGGAGATGCTGTTCCTAGCATATTTCTGATCTACAATAATTTCTTGCAGACTTGAAACCCAGGATTGCGGTAACATTGCTTCCTGGCCTGCCAGCGTACATCCTTTTCATGTGCATCAGGCACACAGATTGCATAAATGACGACAAGAAAGTCAGACAAATATTAACAACTTACCTGAACGCTGTGAAACGCGTGGTAAAAAAGCGTGAGGATTTCGATTCAAGCGTGCTTTGGCTCAGTAACACACTGAGATTACTGCACAATATGAAACAATACTCTGGAGACAAACCGTTCCAGCTGGAGAACACACCGCGACAGAACGAGCAATGTCTCAAGAATTTCGATTTAAGCGAGTACCGGGTCGTGTTGAGTAACGTGGCGTTGTGGATCTTCAATAACATCGTGACTAACCTAAAAGAGAGAATTCAAGCTCTGACCGTACCTGCTCTCTTGGAACACGAGGCCATAACTGGCTTGGACTCTAACAAACCAGGTCGACCTCGATCCTCGTCGATGGGGGAAGAACCAGAGTCGACGCAACAAAAGCTCGAGAAACTTCTAGACGAGCTCTCTACCGTTTACAAAACCTTGCAGTATCACGGCGTCGATCCCGAGATCGTCGTGCAGCTATTCAAACAACTTTTCTACTTCATGTGTGCCAGTGCTTTGAATAATCTACTTTTGAGGAACGAGCTTTGCCGTTGGACAAAAGGTATGCAAATAAGATATAATTTAAGCCACCTGGAGCAATGGGGAAGGGACAGGCAATTAGAACCGGCCACGGAGGCGCTTCAACCGATCATCCAAGCCGCGCAGCTTCTTCAAGCACGTAAAACGGACGAGGACGTAAATTCCGTTTGCGAAATGTGCAACAAACTGACCGCAAATCAAATAGTAAAGATTTTGAATTTGTACACGCCTGCTGACGACTTCGAGAGTCGCGTGCCTGTTTCGTTTATTAAGAAAGTGCAAGCCAAACTTGACGAGCGGTGCGAGAACAACGAACAAGTAAGTTTATATCATTGTTTCTCAAACTGGGAGTCCGTGGAACGTGGACGGTTCACAAAAACGAGGAATATTTCTTTTCAGCTGCTGATGGATCTAAAGTATTCGTATCCAGTAAGATTCTCGTTCAACCCGTCTGACATTCGATTAGAAGATATCGAAATACCGGAAGTACTTCATTTGCCCATGCTCAAGAAAGTGTAATCATAGTAATCAAAAAATTTAGAGGCCCCGCTGCGCATGTAACTTTTAGTTGAGTAACCGTCTAACGAGTAATGAAATTTGCATAGCCTATTTATTAAAAAAAAAAAGTGAAGAAAAAAAGAAAAAAAGTCAAACAATTAACGCCGTTGATTGTTTCACTTTCCGAGTTAGATAATGCATCGAGCGGGTCATCGATATCATGTTTTGTATGTTTTTTTTTTACTCCAGTAATTTGTATTTTACGATGCATAATTCCTATCCGTGTCCATGTGAAACATGTTGGTTTATAGGATATGTTCCATGGATGATAAAAAAAGAAAAAAACATATTTTTCGTTGTTCTTAGCGTATAACGGTATACGTCGAGACTTGAGAACGGTGTAAATGTGTGTAACGCTCTGCTGGAGCTTGCAATTCATACATCTGAATTGAATTAGTATTATTATAAAGAGGAGCAGCGAAATATTAAGATGCAGGTATGCACGACGAAACGAAGTGCCGAATTCTATGTTGAAAAATACAGAAGTATTGTTATCGAGATTAATGAAGTTTAAAGCAACGCGTTGTTCTCTCGATATTGTTAGTCTATCGAAAAAATGTTATGGCAAGTATTGCAACTCCAAGCAAGAACTTTATGCGTGCAATATTGGTAATCCATTGGGGATGTGTACTTAATATGTAAAAAGGGAAAGGCGAGGAAGAGATATAATGTTACGTTGGGATAGATTGTATATTTTGTGATACGAGAAAGATTAATTACCAAGTCGGTTCCCAGAAACCGAAGACAAGAGGATACGAAAGAAACGAGCGGGAGAGAGTAAGACAGGTATATATTGTTGTTATAATATAATTTATAAATATGTACAAGCGATTGTATTTTGTGCCATTTTATTAGTAGAACGTAACCAAATTCTGTTTCCTACATTGATCTGCATTTACGTTTACGCTTTACGAATACATTCTATAGAACCTAACCTTTTGTAAACAAAATCCCTTCTCCCGGAGTGTACATACAGAGAGAAGAATCTGTTAACACGATTATACCTTGACTCGATGTGACAAATTTATTTGTTCCTACAATGAAAATAAAGAGATCGTTGATGGAAAGATGGACCCCATTCAGTCTACATACAAATGTCTTTATGCATGAATACGGTTTAGGTTAGGAAAATGCCGTGAATATTGGTAAAAGTAAAACAAATTTATTCGTATCGTAATACAGTATTATCATATAAATTATCAATGTGTAGCAAATCGACGACAAAAGAGGCGTGAGAGTTAATGAAATTTAGTTGTTTAGTGAAACGTAGTTTTTTCAATTAAAAACGTAAATGAAGCTCGAAGTAAAATGGTGACGTATACATCCAATTCTCTTCGTAGATAAATTTATAATCGAAGTAGAAAATATGTTATCTTTTTTACGCTGCATCGCTGGCATCGCTCACTGAACGTATATCGTCAATTTTAAGTATCATTTTCACCAATTGCGTGGCCAACAAGATTTGTTGAGACTTACTCGTCAATGTCTCGATAACGTGTTGCTCTTTCATATCTACAGCATTAACAAATAATTTATCGCTGTTCGTTGTAACAAGTAATAAATAATAGTAAGGTCAGTACGTACCGGCAGTGCCTGCATGCAAGCAATCAACACCGAGAGCGGGGTTGTTCTCAACTATTTGACGTGCTTTAATTTCAGCTATGGTATCGACGGGAGAAAGACCAGCATTTTCAGCAAGTGCCATTGGTACAGCTTCCAAAGCCTCCGCGAACGCACGGAAGGCATACTGTTCCAAAGTGCTGATCCTATTGGCCTGATTTGCACAAGCAAGAGCACAGGAAATCTCAGCAGCGCCACCGCCATATACAATCTTCTTATTCTTGATCACATTGCGAACCGTACAAAGTGCATCATGAATAGCCCGCTTTGCCTCTTCAATAATCTTTAAACAAAAATGGAAACGGAATTATACACTTGAAAGAAAATGGACACCGAAAACCAATGACGACCATTTAAATTTATAAGGGTACAAAGTTAGAAGTAAATCCGAATGGGTAAGTCGATTTCGTCAATTTTAATATCTTTGAAACATGTAGTTGTAGCATTAGGCAAATTGTCTTCAATTAAATATATGGAAATTGAACGACAGAATAAATATTGCAATGCGTTGTTCTTGCAAGGTGTCTGGTCAGTTAGGTATATGTAAATACCGCTGAAATTCTCCTTGCTCATAATTTGTTTTAAAAAGAGAATATTTTAAGAATTACCATTTTATTTCCACCGCGAATGAAGATTGTAATCGCTCGAGAATTCTGGCATTCTTCGATGACGAGCATTCGGTCCTTAGTAGTGCCAAATGTCAGCTCCCTGACGACGCCTGCGTGACCAAGTTTCTTCGGTGTCAATTCCTCGAAACGTGGAACGATACGGCCGCCCGTTGCAATAGCAATTAGCTAAAAAAAATTGGTTACTATTTCGCCACGTTCGACATTTATTTCTATAATTTTCTAAAAATTAAACAAAAGCCCTCAGATCTCATAATCATTGGTCATTAGAGCTACTATAAAAGAAAGATTACCGAATAATGAATTTCAAAAGTCTTGTTTTTCATTCTCATACTAGGAAACTGATACGAGGAAAGAAATTCAGATTTAGAAAATTATTAATCGATTATCTAGACTTTTACCCTCTTCCGTAGCGCTTTGTCATCATCGGGCAGAACAAAAGTGTGTCTACGCTAAATAAAACTTACTTCAATTTCTGGACCACCGACCCATCTAACTGCTGGCAATTCATTCTGTAGGAGGAGATGATTGGCTTCGTCGTCGAAACCCCATTGACAAATAGCAAGTGTTGTACCTGCCTCCTTAACCTTTTTCACCATTTCTGTGAATTTCTCCCGTTCATATTCACGTAAAGCTCTATAGTCTTCGACCGATGTAATGTCCAACTTATGCTTTGTTTTCGGTTTGGGCGGCTCGAACGGACAGGTCAAAATGGCCAATTTCACATTTTCCAATCTCTAATAATGCAAATTCCTCCAATATTAATTCCATAATTTATTAGAATCGTGCATTAAATAAAAGTAATTATTCCCTCAGCTCTCATAATCTTATGATCATTGAAGCCACTGTAAAGGTCGGATCGTCGTATAGTTACTCCAACATCAACTTAACTTTTCCAATGGTTAATAAGATAACCAAAGGAATAGTTTCCAGTCATGAACAGAAAGTATACTAAACAAATTTTCTGAACCTTTACCCTTCTCTGTTGCTTTTTATCATCATCGGTTAAATTAATACGTTTGTTCAAAATAATACAGCAGTGTCCACTTAAGTGTCCGCGATTATCTCCACCAATTCTTGAAAGCCAAGCGGCTTCGAACATCGAGCGACCCTTAAGCGGTTACTACTGTAATATAATTTCGTAGTGAGGTTTAACTACATTTTACCTTAGGCATTTGAGGGTGACTGAAGTCTTTATCAATAACAACACCATAAACTAGGACAGTGTCTTCTAGCCTGCCACCGACCTTTCCTTCTACTTTTATGAGTTCAAAATTTACATCGCGTACGAAAGGATCCATAACTGCGAATACAGCTTTTACAGCTATTTCTGCCATTTGCCTATGACACTTGTTGATGCTGGAATAGAGTGAAGAAAGTATCATCATGTTATTATTAGAACGAATGCATACAATTATATAATTTTGTCTTATTACATCTTTGAACCAAGACTGGTCATAGCTATTTTTATGTATGGTTCGAGATTATCCAGACTTCCTTCAAAGTCTTCTACAATGCTTTTGAGATGTTTAACCGCACATTTTGCTGCTATTTCAAAACCATCTGCAATTCTGATCGGATGAATTCCCTTATCTAACAATTGTTCTGCTTGTTCCAAAAGTGCACCAGCTAACACGACTACTCCAGTAGTACCATCCCCAATCTCATCATCTTGGGATTGAGATAATTGAACCATCAATTTTGCAATTTCATGGTCCACATCCATGTTCTTCAAAATAGTTGCTCCATCATTGGTTACGGTAACATCTCCGTCGGAACTTACCATTAACTTATCAAGACCTTTTGGTCCCAAAGAAGTTTTAAGAATATTGGCCACATTACGAGCCGCTAAAATGTGTGACTGAAAATTAAAAATTACTTATTTGCTACGTTATAAATATATATTTTATGCCAAGTGTAACAATTTAATTAAAATCAAAACATTTTCAAGATTCTGCCGAAGTACGTATCTCGTGACGACACATTTCCTTTTATGGTAAAAAAGAAGCACACCCGTTAAAACTTAAATTTCCCCGAACTTCAAAAGTATTGATCCAAATAGAACAAATTGCTTCCTTAAAGTAATTTAAAGTAATCATTCGCACAATTTTGGTAAAAATAATATATATTTAAGTAAAGCTTTTCTAATTAATTGTCAAGCCCAGAACGACGCCATTGCTTGGGCTTCACGTGGTCGATCCGAGAACCCGTTATATATAATTTCGAAGTTATAAGCCCAATAGAACCATAAATAAATAGATTTTCGAAACGGTGAGATTAATAAAAATTAATAAAAAGAAGAATGAACTGAATTTTACCTTAATTGCATCAATGCCGGTTAGCCGTTTTTGTTTATCTTGGTCACGAAAGATAAGAAACGGCCTGCCGTATTCATCAAAGGTCACAGATCCTGGTACCAAATTCATTTTGCTTACCAGTTCGACCCGAGCACCTTATACTTGCGACGCTAGTAAGGTAGCGTCAATTTTTATAAAATTATACTTCGTCGACAACAGAACTACACGACCCGTTTTTTGCCTTCAACGGATATGCATGCCGCCATCTATTCTAGAATATTCCGGATGGAATAATGACATCATAGATCGTAATGCAAAATTTGAAGAATTTCTACTTCAACACTGCACTCGTATGGTGTTGGTACTAAACAGTATTACTAGATAGTAAACCGGTGTCATGAGAAACTGCCCTAGTGCACAGCTATGCGTGGTGATATTCGCAAAATTCTGTGTACTGTGTATGTATTAATCATACGACATGTAAACACAGCTTGGTTAAGTTTGAAGTCGACTATTCTGTTGTTAAATAAGAGGTTAATGTTACACGAAAGATTATTTTCGTTTGTGAAATTTATACATCATAGAAAATAATAGGAACTGAAAGCATTCCAATGGTGACAGAAAAATTTTAAACTTGTAAACATTCTACATTGTATAATTTGTATATTTTGTATAAATCTCAATTAGAAATATTCCTTTTACCTTAAATGATGAATATATTAATCGTAAATATTTTACAGAAAATGAGAAGGTAATCATCATGAATGTACAAAAAATGATACCGATTACGCCCAAAGATTCCGAAGCAAGGGACAACGATGGCAGGGGCACGATCAAAGTTGTAGATCGTCCGACGTTTATATTGAAAACGAGGGAAGGTGAAAGCAGGGCTGTTTCGCCAAGCCAACGTAATGGCGGTAACAAGTAAAAACAAGTTTTCGTTTCATATTGCACTCATAAATTTATAATTCAATTTTGTACTTATCGAATACTCTGTCAATGATCTAGGAAGGAGGCTGATTCGTTGTCCAACGTTCCATCAAAGATTCCAGACTGTATGCTTTTTTTATTTCTTCCTAAGAAGTTCTTGTCAGTTGCATGATTTTGATTATGGTCGTAAACTTCATGGATTTAAATAACTTTTCAGCTACTCGTACCATATTATCAACATGCCTTGAAATGACCAGTAGTGTCAAATTTATGGACGAGAATATGCAACTTTGTGAAAACCCTCTTGAATTTTTGTACGACCAGCAAGATTTCTTAGTAGTAGGATGTTTAGGAGCTCAAGGTGTTGGAAAATCAACCATCATGTCTCTTTTAACATCAAATTATGCGTTAGTACTTTCCTAATATTCAAGATCTCATTGAAGCTTATATTTTTTGTAAAAAAATGTTTGCTTTTCTAGATCCAATATATTTCCGACTCAAGATATGTCGCATCACGAAAGTGGTGCTAATTGCACGTGCGGTATAGATTTTTTTGTAACAAAAAATCGAGTAATATATTTAGATACCCAACCTATACTTTCTGGATCGACCATAGACTATTCTACTCCTTATGATCAAAAGAAACCTACAACAGACTTCGCAAACATGGAAACAAACTTGGAATTGCAATCCTTACAATTTGCAGCATTTATGTTTTCAGTCTGTCATGTCATTATATTTGTGCAAGACTGGTTTGTCGATTTAAATTTAGTTAGGCAAGTATAATATAAGCGTATTGCGCTACAAGTTTTAATCAAGTAGCATAACAGATTCTTCTGAATCACAGGTTCCTACAAACTGCAGAAATGTTGAAACCATCCTCTACAAGTAATATGGACCAAGACTATGTCGAGTACTATCCGCATATCGTATTTTTACATAATAAAGCAGAACTACAAGATTTCACTCCAAACACTGTCGAAAAAATTAAGGTAGTTATTGAAAATGCATAATGTTGCTACAAGTAAAAATACTAGATTACCCAATATTTAAGAATAATGTAATCGATTATGCGTTCGCAGGAATTTTATAGCAAAGTATTTTCCAACTCTAGATTACAGACTCACAGTGGTTTAGACATGAGTAATCATTCGATGGATGCTGGATTAAATTTATTTTTTATACCGCAGATCGTAAGCGAAGGTATGGTAAAACATAGAATATCGGTGAATTACTTACTTTCCCTTGGACATAGTTTAAACAAATTATTACTAAACGTGTTTCATTTAATTAAGTTCGTATCGTTTGATCTAGAACCTACAATGCGTCAAAGCGAGAAAACTCTGATAGAGAAACTGAGAACAAAAATACATGGAGTGAATAGGAATCAAATGACTCCAAGTACTTTAACAGAAAAAAATTGGTAAATATATAAAGGAAATTGTTTCCATTCGGTTATACATTGTTAAATTATTTTATTCGGTGCTATGTTTGAACTATTTAGGTATCACTACGTTTCAAGAGTAATGGAGGCAATTAAGAAAAGTCATCTCTCTTCAGAGTATGGAAGATTAATGCCATAAATCTCTTCTGTTCGTGGGTGGACCCCTTTACATGACCTTATTTCTCTTTACATGTTGTATTGTAATTCAATTAAACATGCGGAAATAAACTGACATCGGCCGTCATTCATGTACTACGATAACGAAGGCAGAATGAGAGAAATTTAAGCTTTGGACAGAGCTGAGCGAGTATAATGTTTTCTTGTTCGTAGTTTGTTTCGTTTGGCGTGAACGAGCGACTAAAGGAAATAAATTCCGAGGAAAATACAAATGTACTAATTCGCGCGCTCTCACCTGAAAGTGTCTTAATACTATATAGGCAGGAGAAAATAAACTGATTGCTCAAAGTCAGTAAACCGCAGTTTTACCTCTGTTCCAACTGTAAGTCCGTGTATATACAATAACACCGAATCGTACACGAAGCGATATTTAAAGTGGTAATCACATGGAATAGTAGTTACAACAAAACACTTTGGTAACTAGTAACACAGTTTATATTAAAAATTATATTTCGTCATTTTTATTGGATTTATAGTGCAAGAACACATCACAGAATAAAGATAGGAAAACGATCATTTCCTATTTTAGAAATAATGTACAAACATAAATAATAGTGTGTATGAAATCGAAAGAAATAAAGTGAGATATTGCAATTGTTCTGGATTTACTGAAACAAAAAAATATTTCTTTATCCACTGCAATTGAATCAGCACCTTTTCGAAGTCGGTGCACCGAGGTGACGCCCGACCTCCGAACATTTACGAATAATCCTCTTGCTCACTGTCAGCCTGTTGCATCGAAGCCATTTGTGCGACTGCCTGTAATTGTTGCCACTGTTGTTGTTCGGCCACTGCCTGTTCTTCCCTTGCTTTTGCAAATAATTCTTGTTGTTGTCTTAAAAGTTCCTCCTCCGGAATTCCCAAGTTTTCTAATCTTGTACTTTGACGTCTTCGTTTGGCCGCGACAGCCTTGCAATCTCGTAAAACCGCTTCCGCCTCCGCGCTGTAATCTCCAAATCCGAGCTTTTCGAGGGCTTGGAGGACATGTTCAGCATTTATTGTTTTTTTTTGTTGCTGATTACAAATCTCGTTTGCTTCGGAGGAAAGTAAATGAATAAATTCCGTACAACAGTTCAATATCAACTCTCGAGATTCGTTTGCCACACGAACGTGTGGTAAGATCTCCTTAATCATTTTATTGATCGATGCACGCGGTAGGGTTAACTCGTCATCTTCGGTCGGTGATATAGCAGCCGAGGCCATTTCCTTTCTGTAACATTCAAATAAAATCAATTTGTTTCCCCGAGAAAAATATGTGCGACTGATACTGTTCCTTTTAATCCTTCGAATTTTTTCGATTTTATCGAATTAATAAGATTTATCGATATTGAGCGAAATAATTTAATTAATGTTACCAATACGTATTAACTAATCTATTGCTTTTACACATACGTACACTTATGAATTTATGTATGTATTTATGCATTTATTTATGTATTACATATGTAATGATAGCGCCCAAATACAGAATTTAAATAATATATATTAAAGATTTAAGTTCAACTACTTGCTCTATTTATATTTCTTCTTTTCTTCTTCGTGATGGCGGTATTCCGAAATTTTGTTATTTATTTAAAATAAATTTTAAACGGTTGAAATAGTTCGTAATCCTTCGGTGCATATATGCGACTGCCGTCTTAACTGTAAACATTAGGCTTATCGTCTTATCGCGAAGTTAAGCGAAGTTTCGTTCGTGCTCTCGAACACAGATTATCAGATAAAATATATAGAAATACTATATCATATCAATTGAGTACATCGGTTAAAATTGACAAAGTAATACAGTTTTCCCATTAAAAAATATCGTAATTCAAAAATGAAATGTTAACAAGGATTCAAGTATCACTGATTTATGGTATATTCATTTCACTTTACTTATGCAGTAAATATCATGTAGAAAGTGCAATTAGGTATGTTGGTACTGTCCAAAACTTAAGTGTAGAAGCTTTACAAGATAACAGATACATAGAAAGTAATAATACATATAAATTCTTGCAACTTAATATATCTTGGTTGCCTCCGAACAGTAACAGACAGCCTGCCTCCTATAGGTAACATTCATAATAGAATATAAAGAAGCATCTTATACAAACAACTATATCCCATTACTTTGAAATTTATGTCTATTACAGCATTATAGTCACGGGTGTATCAACAGGAGAAGAAACAGATATCTCAGAATGTCCAGAAGGATCAATTTTTTATACATCAAACAACTACAAGCAACATAATGTCTTGCTACCAGAAAACAATTCACCGGTTGATATGCCTGATCTGTATATCCGGCCCAACTGTTCTTACAAAGTTCAAGTTATTGCAAATCCAAGAAAACCTATGGTAAATCCATCTGAAGTAAGTTGCTCATACATTGTACGTACATGTGATATGGTAAAAGTATGCAACATATGCATCAAATAAGATGGTTGCTCAAATTATACAGGTCCTCTATACAGTTCCAGAATGCATAGGTTACAAATGTAGTTGTTCTAATATTAAGTCAAAACTACCAATACCAAAAGTGAATATTACTCTACAAGAGGATCAAGTAATTGTAAATTGGAATACAACTACCGACACTTCTAATGTTCATTCTTATATAATTAGGTAATACTATAAATGTATACCAAATCATTTTTTAAGTTTAAACTTAACTAAAATGATGTGCACAATTTTACAGTATCGGTGTGCCGATCTTAACATCCAAAAATGGGCTACCGGTATATAATGTTACAAAACTAGGACAAGTGCCAGCAGAAAAGACCATGTTTTTGTGGGGCATGAAATCCAAGAATCAATATACAGAAATAAAAGATGGTTACAAAATAGCAGTTACTGCTGTAAATAATCGTGGTTGCATTGGAGTAGAAGGAAGATTTATTATACACTCTACATTATGGGAGACCTCTAAAACTGTCAATTACAATCTAGTAAGACATTGACAAGACTAATGTTTGAACCAATTTTGTGTACAAAATAAATTTAAATAATATTCATAATCTTATATTTCAGTGGTTCATACTTATTGGAATAGTGGGTGGTTGCATCTTTCTTGGAATTCTAAGTCTTTTGTATTATAATAACTGTTTCAGTATATTACATTATAATAATAATTCTCGGTAAATATTGCAGTTGTAGATTGATTAACAGTTTAAAATGTAAATAAAAAAACTCATTCCTTTTTTTTTATCTATAGAATCTGCAAAATCAGCAGAGCTCAGTGGGCAGAAACAATTCTCCATAAGCATAACATTTTATACATTCAACCTAAATCTGAGGTAACAAATTAATTTTATGTTTACAATAAGCTATATTCACAATGAATGTAAGTTGTTTATTTCAGGAAGACTATAAAGAAAAAATAGATAAACTACAAGTGTCGTTTAAAAATATAAAATTGATACATGAATTAGGCACTGGACACTTTGGTAAGGTGTATCTAGGACGTTTAAGTGGCATAAAGTCTACTCTGGTTGCTGTAAAAATGTCCCAACATGTTGGTATATCTACTGAATTGGAGATACGTCAACAATTTATAGAAGAAATTAAGATGATGAGGATGGCAGGGAATCATCCTCATTTAGTGGGCCTCATAGGCTATTGTATTCAACCGAAGAAACCAATATGTATTCTGCTTGAATACATGCAAGGTGGAGATCTATTAACTTATCTGCACGTTAAAAAGAAAACTCAAGCAAGCAAAATTATTCAACATTACGAAAATACAAGTGTTTTAGGAAGTAAGCATTTCTCTATTTGTTTTATGATTTTACTCGGACATAAGCCATGCATTTTTAATTTTCAACTTTATGTAACAATAAAGTTCTTTTGCATCAGACATACAATATGCTCACAAATACACACAACTTGGACTCAAATATGTAAATATTCCTAAGGAAGAGGAGACAGAAGATAAAGAAAAGAATTGTAACAATAGAATTGAAAGAGTTCAATTTTTGAAATTCGCTACAGAGATCGCCATGGGCATGGGACATCTAGAAGCCAAAGGAATTACCCACAGAGATTTAGCAGCAAGAAATATTCTCCTTGATGCAAACTTGACTATTAAGGTATTTAATTTTTTATAGCAATGTCTAATTATGTTACAGAAGTTAGAATTTTAACACGATGCAGTGATAATTAGATTTCCGATTTTGGGCTTTCGCGCAATGGTATATACGTGATCAAAAATAGTGAAGGGAAAGGACATCGTCTTCCAATACGATGGATGTCACCAGAGGCCATTCGCGACCTTTCATTTTCCTCAAAAAGTGACGTATGGTCCTTTGGGGTAGTGCTTTGGGAAATCGGCACGTTGGGCTCTTTTCCTTATTCAAGTGTGCAGGACGATCGTTTGTTACGTTACATCGTGTGCGAGAATGGTCGTTTGGAACAACCAAACGACATGTCCTCTGACATTTACAAAATAATGTGTTCTTGTTGGGCTACAGAGCCCGACGACAGACCGAATTTTTTGCAGCTTTTTTCGAAATTACAAATTCTAATTGACCCTCCGAATACTCTTCGTTCGACATTTAACCCTTGTTATGCGCAGTCATTTTGAAAAAATATGTACCGTCAAATTCTTGGTGTTGTATATACAGTTAAAGGGAAGAACGAAAGCGCGCATTTGGAAAGACGATAATACACGTTGATTTGTACTAACTACCTTATTACTAAACTTGAATAAAATAAAATCTCACTTACGAATCGATTTCAACTCGTTACACTCTTTGGATATTGATGATCGAAATCTCTAACCAAACTATCAATCAAGAAATACCACCGAAAATTTATACGTTTGGACAGCAAATGACTAACTACCGGAAGCAAGACATGTATTTCCGGTAAAATAAAATAGATAACTCATTTGGCATTTTTCACATTGCACTTAGACATATGACGAATTTCGGGTTACTTTTGTTCAATCATTCACTATACATATGTCACAGTGGTCACGTCTAAATAAGCGTGTAATCCAAACCATAAAAAATTGGAGTTTTAAGAAGCAGCGTTTACCATGAGAATTTATTCAAGATCAAAGGGAATTGATTTAGCAAAATGAATCAAGTTACAAATGCGTTTTCTCATTAATTCGTGCACGATAAAAAATTTATGTGTAAATACTTCTATATACTTCGTACAGTGAGAAGTATTTCGGGTAAACAAAAGCACCTGATTTGTGACAACCAACAAGGAGCTAATGAATTTCTGTGCCTTGAGCAGATACATACAGATTAAAATTGAAGTTGTACATGTTACTATGTATGCATAATAATTACATTGCTGTGGAGAAATTAATAAGAGAAACTATATAAATATAACCAATAAAATAATATGAATAAAAATATATTTAAAAAACACAAAATGACATACTTGATATACTTTTGGGTAGAAATACAATAGACCAATGAGACTTTACAGATTCACATGATTTTGTTTACTCACATTTTTTTCTCACTGGATAAAAAAGGTATACAGGCAGATATACATATAACTTTATACACGTAATGCCCTCTTGTGGGATTTGCTAACAGCAAACTAGCGGTGGATGTTCGTGAAGATGATTGTTCAATGATTATAGTACGACGGAAGAAAATACGGTGAATGATAGATTTTAGCTTAAATACGCAGGTACTTCGGGTCATTTACAGTAAAAGCGATTGTAATTAATAGACGATGGTAAAATTTCTCTCAAAGTTAATCGAAATGTGTTAACGGTAGACAAGTTTTAGAAGGTGACATTTTATAGGTTATGTTTTGCGGTATTGCTCGATATTACAATTTTTTTAGTTATTCTGTAAGAACACATTAACTGAATTCCGTGCAAACAATTCTCGGTTCAACGCGAGTGTCGAAGAAATAGAAAAAAAAAGAACTTACTCAAGACTGGATCATTCGATTAGTTGAAAACTAAATAAACTAGGAACATGGGAGAAGAAGTGGACGACACTACTATAGATTACGACACAGCCATAGATGGTAAGTTACTTTATTGGTTTATTTGCTTTCCCTTTCTGTTTTTCTCACTAATTCACATTCTATGCTGCAAATACACGATCGACGTTCTGGACGATTTACGAGTAGAAATTCACAAAGGAAACTCGCGTGAAACTCTCGATCGCGTTACATTCAACAAATACTTCGTTGGAGTTGAATGAACGTTTTGAACGCTTCGATCGATGATGCATTTCGTGTAACATTGATCGAATCGGATCGATGCGCGTTACGTCCCAGGTAAAGGCGAGTGCCATACACGACTGAACTCGTAAAAACTTTAGGTCGCCCAGTCAGGGAACTCTGACAAATTAAAAACGTATGTGCCCCATGTCGAAAATGCTACGGTTGTGACGAGGATCGTAATAACGCTAGGTCCAATCCCAGCTATCGCGATATCTCTGGTTTTCATGTGAGCTGCCGTAGTGGCGATCGCGTTCGGTGGTGTACCCACTGGCAAGTGAAACGAGAAGGAACAACAGATAGTGGCGGGCACCATCAAATACAAGGGATGTAGTCGTATAGCGATACACTGAAACGATAAATTCCTAATTAAAAATGTTTGAAAATTAAAGTAAGTTTATAATTAACCCCTTGTCTTATAGTATCGAATCGAACTGGTCTATATTAAGTCGGAATCAGTCGAGCGTCGAAACGATGGACGTTCGTGTGTCTTTCATTTTTTCTCAGTTAAAAAAAGAAGAACCTGATTTCGACCTTATAGATCAAACATGACAAACATCTTAATATATGATATTTTTTAAACGGATTAATTTTTAAAACTTCAATTGAATCGCAAGGTAAGGGGTTATGAACAGAGAAAAACACGGTGAAAACGATTCCTTACAATTTCTGCCAAAACTGGTAGGATGATATTCGCAACCGCAACATTTGAGGTCAGTTCCGTCACGGTTTCCGCAAAGAGGCAGACGATAACCAGTATCGCGAACGGATCGATCGACTGCAAAGCGATCAGAGCGTTTCCTACAATGGAGGAAAGATTGGAAGAGGTACTGCCGGCCGAGATGGCGAATCCACCGCCCAGTACAAAGATCAGGCTCCAGTGCATCTTCTGATGGATCATTTTCCAAGTGATCATACCGGGCGACGGCTTGGTGGGTCGGTTGGCAGGATCGGCGTCGAACGATCGAAGAAAATCGAGCTTGGCCGGTAACGCGAAAAACAAAATGGCGACGCAAGCCGCCGCTGTCGAGTCTTTGACGTGTCTGTAAACAGCATACTCTCTGTCTTGTAGATACATGTTGCAGTGAATATTTTTTTACTGCAAATAATTGCAAGAAATGTTCACCGCCACCCGGACTATACGGGAAATGCCACACGATACGTACAAGTCGGTGATGTAAGTTGGCCAGCCGCGTACGAATCCGGGATTTCTGAAGAACCAAAGTAGAACGACCGTGACGAAGAGGACACCGACGCAGGATTCGTGCCACGTAATCGGGCCAAGTTCCATGTATCGTTTTTTGATCACGGTCTCCGCTACCTCCTCGCCTTGCACGCCAATGTCAATGGCGCGCGCGTCCTTGCTTCCTGGCCTGAACATTCCCATATACATTATCTGAAGCCACAGCCACGTGAGAAGGCCCATCAAGACCATCGGCGGAACCGAATAAAGCATCCACGAAGTCAGGCTGATGCCCGAGCTGTTTGGAAACCGCCTGGAATTAAAGAGAAGGTCATGGAAGTGCACGGTTGTTCTCGTTCGTACGCGTCGATGGTTCTGTAAGTGGGTGAGTGGGTCGGTGTTGGTCATAGTGGTGGCGACTAGAGTCATGGGAGCGCTTACTTTTCGAAGAAACCTTTCAACGTCAAATTGGTGCCTGTTCCGACCAACGTGCCTACGCCTCCAAGACTGGAAGCGTACGCCGCCACGAGATAATAGACCATGGTCGTGCGCGTTGGTCTTTTTACCCTGGAAAAAGCGTATGGCTAAAGGACAATAATTAACGGCGGAACCTCTGCTTTTTTTTTTTTTTTTTTAAAGCAGGAGACGCGTCGATAAACGAACGGTAGATGAGCCGAGCGACTTTATAGATTTACGGCTACGTACGGCTCCTCTGTGCCTTCTTCCCCGCCACATCCGTTCTCCTCGCGTACAAACATATTACCCAAGCCTTGCTGAAAACGCAAAGACGGAATTTCGATGAGGTCGGACGGTACCGATTTATTCACGGTTTCGTGGCGTGCGTTGCTTACCGTTTCGAGTTCCAGAAGAACGGTCTCGATGATGGGTAGCATCATGGCGGTAGCGGCGGTGTTCGAGATCCACATAGACAGGAACATGGTCACGCAGAACAAGCCCAGCGTTAATCTACAAGTTGCATGCATGCGTGTGTGTTATACAGAATGTCCCATCGCAACCAAGCTACCTAAGTATCTTCTGATAACACAGGTAAATATTTAACACATAATTCGAGTGATTTTGAGGGAGGAACACGGTGCAATATAAATTCCAGTAATTGTTTATTGTGTTAATAACTTCGCAGAGTTTAGTACCCTTGAAATACGTTGGAAAGAGAAGGTAACTGAGAAGGAAAAATCGTGAACCATTATTTGGAATATTTGGAATACCAAATTTGTTTAAAAATTACGACGAGGATGGGAAGCAATAAAATTGCGTAATTACTACTTAAGGACTACTTCAAATTAAATTTAACTTCGGTAGTAAAATGAAGTTGATATAAAGATGAGTAGTGTATGAGTATTATATTTGAACTATGATTGTATGACAAACTTTTGAATACCGTATCCTTCCTTCAAAACTATTCAAATTGTGTTTTAAATGTTGTCCCGTATCATCGAATACAAAGAAGGTAATAAAGTGTGGCTCTGATGGGGCAATCTGTGCATGTACGTATACAAAAACTAATTAACGCTGTTGAACATTGTAGATTTTAGAAAGTTACCTTCGATGGCTGCAACCGATCGTTTTAATGATCAACAAAGCCACCCGCATGTGTATGCCAGAGTTTTCTATGGCGATTGCTATCACAATGCTACCGACGAACATCATCGTGGTGTCGTTCATGTAGCAGGCGCAAGTATCGCCGGTGCTCATTATACCCATCAGTGGATAGGCGACGACAGGAATCAAACCTGTGATCGGTAAGGGAACCACCTCGGTCATCCAAAACAACGCCATCAAACTGATCACGTACAGACATCGCATCGCTATCACCTGCGTCGAATCGAGAGATGTTTTTCCTTGCTTTGTTTTTGCTTTGCAACGTAGAGTCACGAGCGACGCGCAGTGAAATAAATAGAAGCAGAAGGGATTACACCGTCTTCCGGATAATTGTTTAAAATTTTCCCCTGACGGCTAATCCGTAGTCGCTTTCACTATTGTTCTTGTTTGTTCAACGTGAGTAATTTGTTGACTCGCGCGATAAGACAAGTGGGATCATATATTATAAAATTAAATTGTTTACGTTTCCATTTTATCTTCAGGAGATACCTTTACCACCAATGGATTGGCAAGGTTTACCTGATGAAAATGAGTACAAATACGATCTCATTCGGACTATTTTTAACGATTGGGTCATTGATGACCCAGTTTTATTTTAAAGACGGTTCAAGTATTACATTGCGGTTCATGATCACTCATATTTTCTCATACGTACTGTAAATGCAACTGAATTTATCATTTGTGCAACGATAATATACAGGACAATATCGGGACCGACGGTTTTCTTGATTATGGGGTAGCAATTATCCGGAATACAGTATAATTAGAAGCAATTGAAAAATAGCTACGCAATAGCGAGAAAGAACTGTAACAATAACAATGACAAGAGAAAAGATCAATCTGGTGTATCGACGAACCTGAGTAGTCTCGACGATGATGATGGGCAACAATATTAGTGGCCATAATACTATCACGAACGATCTCCAGTAAATCGAAAGAAATCGTATCAACAGAGTCCCGAAACTAGTGGTCTTTCTGAAACAATTGACATCGAAAGTCACGGCACTGTGATCAATATTACACCATTGGGGCGGGCTAAACGATGAGCGTCCAAACCAAGTTTTAGCCAATGAGTCATATTTTTGATAAAAAGAGTAATATTATTGCGTATCGTCTCGAATCTGCTGGTTGGATCCATCGGCGAGGCGCGTCTATTACATCATACCTTAAACGTGAACAATTATTAGGTTGTTTATTAGTACATAATTACTTTGAACAGACTTTAAACGAATAATAGCTTCACGTTTAAGGCAGTATCTGATGGATAAACTTTACCAATGTCCAACTGCCAGATCCGGGACGAAATAGCATATACAGTAGTTCCCGCTTTCAAGTGACTTAATAGGAGTGCAGCTAATTCAGTAGTATACGAGATAGGTAGCGATTTTTATATTGAACTAATATCAATAAAAATCGCTCTTACCTGTGCTTTTGGTCATATTTATTTCAGTCATTATAAAATCTTTAAAAAATATAATTCAATGAAATTTAAAAGTATTAGGTATTAAATCACCGTCGCCATCCAGAACCGGAAAAAGCCTTACATTGTGTACAGTGTAAATGATTAGGGATGTCTGGTTCGAGATGATGTTTACTCAGGCGATATGTTTATTAAGACAGTCGGTTTCGAAAGAGTGATACAAAAGCTAACAGTTTCATTAAATCCCCGATTAAAATGGTCAGTATAGATAACAAATCTACGTATATTTTACTCAATTTCATTCCACCAATCAATGAATACACTTGTATCGTTGATAATAGTCGATACCTTTAACTTTATTATGAATTTGTTTACTTTGGTCAGAACAAATACATCTCACTAGTTGATATTCTACATTTACTCTATAAAAATGTAAACAACATATAAACTATTAATACGTAAAAAGTTATGAACAGCTAATTTATTATTTCAGAAAAAAAAACACTAAAAGTATTTCGATGCAATGTAAAATTGAAAGCGGATGCCGATGCGATTTTATCAGTGTAAAGTCATAGAGGAAAACGTGCAGAACCTGATAAAGCATTATGTTACCTAGGTAATCCTTACGAAATTACAAAGTCTGAAATGACAAATACAACGGCGACGTTCGAGAACACAGGGTGTAGCAGAAAACATATACATATTCACGTCAGAATGAATTGTGATATCATTAGCTGGCAAAACAATGCGAATAATCGGTAGAAGAACGGATCGTTTCAGCAAAAGAATAGCTATTGTGTATAATTAGTAGAAGCAACGTTTCGAAGTTGAGTATGGGTTACATGTGACGCTCAATCAAGGCATGCAAGGCTCATCAAGATTCTCCGAGATTTATCAGAATATTACAAGGCTCGTACAAGATTTTTCAGGTCTCATCAAAATTTTCGATTTCTAATAACATTCGTAAACAATTCTAACGCGTACCCATTATTGCACTTTTATAGCAGCAGTTCGATCCTACGATAAAGAGAGGACAGTGATCTCGATTCCGTCGATTGGCGTTAGAGTTCGATTTCCGGTTCGAATACGTTTAGTTGCTCACAAAACATATATACGTACCTTCTGTCCGTGGAATTGATGATTTCCGGGTACGGATCGTCGGGCTGCGTGGCCATTGCTCCCTACCGGGTCAAAAGGAAACGTTGTTAGAAAAAATTCAAATCGTCGTTGACTCGAACACGTCTCGAGATGTACGAGATCCGGAAATCGGAAATGCAAGATCGTCCGACGACGCGCGCGTTCCTAACGCGGAAACGATGATCGAACGCGTTTGGAAGTTAACAGAATCAAAGTTGTACGCATTGTTTCTCGATCAAATCGTCGATACGAAGAGTCGCGTGATTTCTCTGTCTCCCGTTTCCTTTTTCTCTCTTTTTTGTCCCCCTCCCCTCCCCCCTTATTCCCCTTGTCGCGTTTGCAGGCATTACAGGCCAAGTAATTTTGCTAAGCGGCACCGAACGAGATTGACCTCGGTGGTCTCACGGTGGGTCATCTAACCCCGTTGCCGCGTTTTACGTTTCCGTCGTTAAATTTATTCCCCCGTTCCAGCATTTGCGAACGACCGCTTTGTCGTTGGACAACTACACGATGGGTATCCCGAACGATCTTAAATTTGATCCGAGTACTCGATGAACAGCCATCGAAGGGTAATTAAACGCGCCTCGTCTCGTAAACGTCTTGCGGAATTTTATTCTCCCGACACGGCGTGTACGTGTAACGGATTTTTTCCCCTTTTCTTTCGTTATCGCCGCGCGAAGGTCGTCGAAGAAAAATGCGTCTAACGCGACGGAAGTTGCATACCGATCTGCGGGTTTTTTCTCGGTTAATTCTCGCTGTTGGAGCTAAGCATTGTACGATTACGAAATGGCACGATTATACGTGTCTCGAGCTCGAGTTTTCATTTAGTTTCGGTACTGGGCAGCATGTCCATGGTGGATGCATTCACGACTGTGACTGTTTTGAGATTAAATGCGCCGATAACGCGCGGTACGATCGGAGTCGAACTTCTTGGTTGCAACGAGCAACGACTGTCTTGCATTCTCTACTCGTTACTGTACCTATTGATACAATACTGTATCAATAATTCACTATGGAGGGGACAAATTTAATGTAGACTTAATTCTCGGTGGTTCGAACAAAATATAGATTCAAAGAAACCGAAACAAATATTAGAGAAAAATGTTATAAATACGTATTTACATACTATTTGTATCAATATTTTTGCATGATGCACTGGTAAATGAACCATGTACTGAAAACACAATTTTATTTTCCCACAATAAGTAGCAATATTAAATAAACACGACTTCGATCAGCCTCTTTTCATCATCATGGTTGATTTAAAGACTTCGATGTTTGTACGTTATTGATACAATATTATATCAATAATTCGCTATAGAGGAGACAAATTAAATTTGATATAGACTTCTAATTTTCAATGATTCGAATAAAATATAGTTTTAAAGAAACAAAGCAAATATTAGAGAGAAATGATATAAATACGTATTTACATACTATTTGTATCAATATTTTTGCATGATGCGCTGGTAAATGAACCATGTACTCAAAACACAATTTTACTTCCCCACAATAAGTAGCAATATTAAATAAACATGATCAGCCTCTTTTCATGGTTGATTTAAAGATTTCGATGTTTGTACCTTATTGATACAATACTATATCAATAATTCGCTATAAAGGAGATAAATTAAATTTGATATAGACTTCTAATTTTCAATGATTCGAATAAAATATAGATTTAAAGAAACCGAAACAAATATTAGAGAAAAATGTTATAAATACGTATTTACATACTATTTGTATCAATATTTTTGCATGATGCACTGGTAAATGAACCATGTACTCAAAACACAATTTTATTTCCCCACAATAAGTAGCAATATTAAATAAACACGACTTCGATCAGTCTCTTTTCACGATTGATTTAGAGACTTCGATGTTTGTACGATCGCACAGTTATGAAAAACGTGTACACTCGTAAATCAAAATCGTTACGACATTTTCCCCGTTGCAGCCGCGATCCCGTTAATTTCGTGTACGCTTCGATACACTTATTATCAAACACAATTCGTTCGTAATATTATAAACCGTGCACTTGCTACCCAGCGCAATTTATCTCCGCAATTAAAAGCCACATTAATAAAAAAAAAAAAACAATCACAATTACCATCGGCGTTCTCTATACACGAATCTTCGAATCGACGTTTGCTTGAAAGATTTCAATGCTCGTACGTTCGCGTGGTTATCAAAATACGAACGGGCATCGCGAAACGCCAGCGATCGTGGATCGATACGCGTGAAATCGGTATCGTTATGGTATTCTGCTCGTTGCAGTCGCGTCGAAGGGACTTTTTAAACGACGAATGCCTCGACTTGGGTTCACGTTTGTTTGCGGCGTTGTCGTTAACTGAGAGACCGGAGCCCACGGTGTCGATGGTCATTGAAGAAAGTCACGATCGCTGCACCATACGACAGCACGACCGGAATGCTAATCGAACCCGATCGATTCGATATCGCGTGTGTGGTCGATCAATAAACGTGTACGTTCGAAACTGCACGCGTCAGTCGCCGGGTAAATTCGGTTACCGTTGATCGAACGGGAAAAATCGTGATTATTTTCCGTACGCAGGCCCGTATATCACTGTTCCCGCGAGACGTGTATCCGCCCCGGAGCCCCTTAAGACCCTGAGCGAGTTCTCTGTCAAAAAGCAGTTCCACTTTCGGTAGTTGCACGCACGCTGCACCACCACTGCTCGTTCTGTTCAAAGGCACGCAGAGTCGGACCTCTTGCAATTAAGCTATCACCCCTCTCCATCTAGTTCCCTCTCTCTCTCTCTCTCTTATCGTTTCTGCGTTTTCTTCTTCTTCTTCTTCGTCTTCTTTCCTTGTTTTTTGTCTACCCCTACCTCGAGGTTCGTCTCTTGTCTACTTGGTTCGTTCTCCAACGACTGGTAAGTGAACCCAATGGAGCACACCGGCTCCTCGCCGATGCAAACGTTCCCGGTCCCCGTCTCGCGACCTTGATGCGTCGTACAATCCTCTGCAACGGGCATATTCCCGACCGCGAGCCTCCCAATCACCCGCGTCGAATATTCGACGCGTTCGCTGTCCGGTCTCGAGGCGGCCTATCCAAAAGCGTAGCGCTATGCACCGTATACGGGTCATGGACAGCGAACGTGTTCACCGTAGGAATATGAAATCGCGTATCGAAGGAAACAACCCGGAAGATCCGATCCATCCTCGTTTTCGGCCTGCTCTTCTCGCGTGACCTCGGCCCTCGAACGGGTAATTTTTTAGCACGAAACGATCGTATTGAGTGTGCACCGTTAGTCCGGGGAACCAGTGTTTATGTTCCTGGAAGATTATCGAGGAACGCATCATTATTTTTTATCGTAAGAAATGGGAAATACGTCGCTACTTATTGTATCTATTTTTTGTTTTTGCGCAGGTGGAGTCGGTTACTCGTTCACGCCCCCGACGATACATAACAAAGATATCGTTTTTTGTTGTCGTCGCGATACAACAAATTTACACAACTTTCGTGACCACGCTTTGGAGTTTCTAAACCTCTGGCTCTGTTACTGTACAACTTTCATGTACCCATAATACGCATCTTATATACTGGGATCATGTTTTATGAAACAGAACCAGTCTTCTTCACGAGTCTCGTTGATGGTATATAATTTAGAACAATTTAAAAAACCTTGATACGATTTTATCAACGATATAATAATTGTAATTTGTACATCCTTCGATCTTCAAATAAAATAAACGTTTTCTTACGTACGTAAACGTTTTATTGAGAATTGTACTGTTACATATTAAAAGGACACTGTTTAGATATTGTTAAGTTAACTACTTTAAAAACTATTCAAATCTAAATAAATCTGTTTTGCCAACTTTTCTTTAGAAACAAATATGGCGGTATACGTGCACGGCAGGGCAATGTACCGTGGCTTGCGATGAGTGAATTATGAGAAAATCGTCCCTGATCTCAAATAAGAAACAATAGCAAGCGAGAGGAGGATAAAAAGGAGGAAGTGAAACCAAAGTTGAACAAAATGGCCACGTCTTGAAACCGTCGTATCTTTGTAAGGAAAGGCCCTTTCGTCGAGGCTCAAATGTATTATATGCGTCGCAGAAAAGTAATTTGAGGCAGGTAGAACTATAAATCTGCACCCTCGACCTCTTTCTGGCCTTAACGGAACGCCAGGTAGAGGGCAAGACGCGATCAAGTATAAAATTCCAAAGTTTCCAAGCTTAGAATAACATCTGACGTTTCACTAACACATCTTCGTTGCTTCACTCTCTGTACGATGCAAATTGTACGCTTCTTTCGATAGAACGTCGCGCACGAGGACGATGGTTACTTCGAAAAACTTGAAACTTGGACTCCATTCGTTTAACGACCACTGATATTACCTGCAGTTTAAAATCCAAATTAATAATACGTTTATTGCTATTATTTCGACGCTCAAGAACAAAAAATTCAAGTTTTTCATTTAAAATTGTAAAACTAAAAATTATCGACTTTAGAAATTCCTTGTCCATGATCGAAAGTGAAAACCGCCACGTGTCGATGCGGAATCATTCACCGTACGACGTTTCGCGCGTTACTAGACACACGATAGTGTTCTATAGTAATCGACGATACTGCATCCTTTTATATCCTTTCATTGTCTACCGACTTTAAGCGCCATCCAATTTTCAGCTAACTCGGAGCGGTTCAATCGTTTTCTACTTGTTCCCCATTTTGCTACGTTCAATTAAAATACGTGTTATCATTGTCTCGACTCGATCCACTGGACACGAACATGAAACTTATGGCATCATTTCGAGATGGTGCGCGAAACCCGATTCGAACGTTTCGCGTCCAGCGTGTCAGTGCGGGCAATGATTAAGTTCATCAATTAAACCACGAGGCCGAATCAAAGCTGCATCAAGTTTCGTATTGTCAAACGCGTGTCCTCAATCGTTCACTGTACGATTTCAATTGGCGTCGAGTAAACAATCGGAAAACATCGGTGGTAAAATAATGAAAAATCGGATGCAATCGCTCGGATCGAGAGATGGTTTTTTTAAACACCAAAAATCGGCCATTATTTCGATTCCTTTTTAGATCTTCTGTTAATATTTTCGTAAATTCCATAGATCTGAAACTATTCTGCAAATATTACAAAACGGTAACTTAAATTTTAATTTAGATGTACATACATGTGCAATTATATTTCTACGATATTTTGGGGGATGCTTTGAATTATATCGAGTAATAATGCAAAATAATTGGTGACCAATGTTTAATTTTATTACAAATTATAAACTTACGTTTTGCTATTAGATCTAAGTAATCAAATATTATTCAGAATATCGGCTGTTAGATTGTAGCGTAAATCTTAAAAAAGAGAAATAACAACATCAAACTGTGCCAGAGAAGCCGCTAGAACTATATTAGTAGACTGCGGATCTTTATGCAAATTCACATTTTCATTAATAGAATTAATGAAACGGAAGCTTCGCAGAGGGCTGTCTCAACCCCTAAATATAATAATTCGTATCTTACTTTAATTATTTCTCATATTTTTGCATATTAAATGCATTCTGTAGTTTTTTGAGGATTAAAATTTCCCATAAATGCATAAACATCCGCAGTCTATATATTAGCCTTAAAATATTTTTGAAATTGAAGTAAAATAAGAAAACCGAAAAAATTACCAGTAAATATAGTTAAAATACCGGTATTTTTATATACCTTTTTATACTCGTACATATAAGTATCTTTAAGGTTTTTTATAAGGGTTGTGACAATACATGTAAGTCTCCGGATTCAAATTCTTCGGCACCAATACGCTTGATATAAGTACGGAACGCGTCCCGACCAAGCGAAATAGAGTACGCGCAGCGTTTAAATCAATTTAATCGTGTAATTAAACCCGCTCACGCTACCGTTTGTCCTCGTGTGTATTACGCAACGCAACCCATCGCGTCTTGAGTAGGACGTAAACATAAACTCGTATTCGCGAACGGACGTTTTCCTTGCGTTTCCCTCCTCCGGTTCCTATTTTCTCGGCCGCTATCCATTGACGCCTTTTTCCCCATTGAAAAACAAAGTGGAGCAATGACACCGTATTCTATATTCCGCAGTCAACCGATTTCACGTCGATCGAACAGCCGTGCATCGTGCAGAAACGAACGTGACCGACTTCGTAATCACCTCGCGGAGCACGTATGTGTGTAATTCGTTTCGAAACGCCCTTCGACGAGGAAGACGAAAAGAGGGTTGGCGCTAGTCGGAACAAAGGTAGCCATTGCTCGTTTCTTCCTGAGACGCCGGCGATTAACATGCCCGAAAAGCGCGATCGAGAAATACAATGGCCGTTAGAAAGTTCACCGGATGCGGTATTGATTGAGATGTTATCGATAAGTTACCATTACCATTACCATTTCCTGTAACTTGCTTCTGTCCTATTAACAGTCGTTCGATGAAGATGGATCAGTCTTGACCCATATCCTCTCTTCATCGTTAGACGATTCATAGATTGTTTACGTGATCAGCGTTGAACTGGCCACTCGGTATCTAAAAAATTATAATAAATTTCTAAACATTTCCTGTGTTTTCTTTTTGTCTCGTGTTATTTTCATATATGATATTATATCGTGCTACTTGGAAAGATAAGACATTAACATATCAGTTGGATCAGATAACGGAAGTACGTACGTCATAGTCCTTGACGTCTTATATGTAAACCTGAAGTATGTTTTCTCGGTATTCGATCGAAGTGACATGTTGCAAAAATTATTCTTTATGCGTTCGAATAATCGAACCATCTACGATTTCGGAATGTCCTAATACGGGCGGCCATTTTACTCCGAACTGATATCGAAGTATCACTTCCATGCCACTAGATATAAAAACTAAATAAACGCTTGGTTTTACACGCTAAATGTTAAGAATTGTATTGGAACTAGTGTATAACTATAGACTATTTTAATACAGATGATACTGTGAACGTGAAAGTTTCAGTGATCGCGTGCAACTGCAGATGATTGTTTATCTTCGTTTGTCCCACCAGTGAATGTTGTTTTTAATCCTCCTTTGTTTGTATTCAATTTTATCAGTGATTTTATACAGTCTCTTTGTTCTTTTCTCTAATTGGGTTCAGGAATTTTTCAATTAAATCACCTTTTTTGTATATTTTCTCTAAGAATATAGTGTCTAAAATGTGCGAGTTGAATATAGTAACAAAGTTAGAAGTATAAACGAAATTACAGAGGTTTGAAGTATAATACGTCGCGCGTAGGTAGAAAATGACCTGAGACGAACTTTAAACGTGTTTTTCTTGAAGCTATGTTTTAGAAAATTACTTCCATGATATCTGATGAAGTAATTGGCCAATTCACTTGAAGTTTTATATACGTGTTCCATAAACATTCTTTTAAGAAGAAATTGAAGTGTTATCGTGTATGGTAACGCAAAATGAAAGGGTATTGTTCAATAAATTTAAGAATTTTTCACAGTTTTTACCTTTTAAACAGTGAGAAATAACAACAAATAAGGATCATAACTATAACTATCTTGACACATGCGATTTGACGTACAATTTATGTGAATTTTAATAGTTTCCAGGTTTACTATGCTCCAAGCTCTCCTGATGGTTTTTTTCAAGTCTTTTATGTTCGCAAATTGCCGTCCATTGTGATAAAGCCAAGGTAAAACATTGATGTTAGCTCCTCGGAGATATTGTTTCATAAACTGGCTGCAACGAAACATGATAAAAACGTGCAAAAGTAAACGAAAAATTCTAAAATTTGGTAAACAATACCCTTTCAATTGATACTGTTCATTAGAAAAATAGAGGAAAGAAAAATTTTCATGTTCGATTCTAAGGAAAAGTTTGAAATTTTCAGAAATATTATACAGGAAGATTATAGAAGCGGACCAGGATAGGATACCTCGCGGTGCTCCAGATGAAACATCAACATGCCCACAGTAGAGTTTTGCAGCTTGGCCACTTGTACTGTATTTATAAGGAAACTAGAAACCCAAGACAGTAAATTACCTTCAATTCCTGTGGCCTTTAAATTGTGTGTTAGGATGGAATGTCAGGAATTACTTAGCTAGTCAAAGGCTTTCCGAAAGTAGACATAATTGTGGCCTTTATCGAGCGAAATACATAATAGTTAAATAGTATCGAGTTATGCGTAACTGATTTCAAGGAAACACGTTTAAAGCTTTTTATGCAGTTTTCACAAAAATAATTATGAAATCCTGTTATTTACGTGTGCAAATCCCTTTCCTTTCTCTAATAATATCTGCTAAAGAGATTAGTAAATGTACGAACTGCTGGACACGTAGCAATGTTTATAAATATATTATTGTATGCGTTTGCAACGACGTGAGATCGCCATAGATTGGTTTAATTGTTGATAAATCACCCTCGTTAAGCGGCTGTTTATATCTAAATCTGTCAAACGTGTCTGTTGCGTCGCAACGTATTGCAGCTTGAAGGCCATAGCAATTTAGGCCCAGGGCAAAGGAAAACCCTATAGCTGGTGCAGATACAAGGCAAACTACAGTACAATGGCGACATTTGGTCGCAGGAAACCTTTTCAAATTCAGAAAATAGCGACTAGTTTTACAATCTGAGCACCGTCATCCCTTGCAACGACCTCGACTTTCCTTTTCTAAGACCACCACTTCGTCCTGATCGTCTTTCCACTTTCTTCTCCAAAAAAACCATTTCACGACTTCTCCAACATCCAATTACAGAACTGTATACTACACCAACCAGAACTCCTCCAACCTGTAACGTTAAGAAAAAATAGTCATCCCAGTCAGTTCGTTCTAATCGAATACAGAAACCTTAGAAAAAGCGCTCCCCACAAAATACCGACTAGCTGTATTTTATAGTCTCAACGTGATCATCTATGATGTTCAACAGTGTCCCTTCAACTTCCGCTTTAAGTCACTTGCAGCAACTGCAGGTTCTCATTGTACAAAGTCAATTTTTTCTTTGTCCAAGGAACGCAAACGGTTCGAACTTACGGGATGATTTAACACACGAACAATGCGTCTGTGTCTATAATCGAAACTGCAAGGAAAGTTACGACACGCTTCTGTAAAAGATATGCATCGAAAACGCTTTCGAGTGACGTAAAAATGGTAGAAATAGCTGCACATATTGCCACATGTACTGTCAATGATATCATCGTGCTATCTAGTAAGACTACATTATTACATATTATGACTACTATCGGCGTTAGAATGAGCATAGAGGGTAATCGTACGAGCATATCGGAAAGGTCGTCGATGCTTTAAATAGTAATTACGATGCTACCAGAGAGAGTGCGAAACTTCCAACACTCTTTCGTATTCTTTTAGCGATTTTGAACAGAAATATATTAATACGATACTTTAATGAAATTTACAGAGAAATACAGAATTTACGCGAGCATATCCTTCGCTGTGCTGCTGCTGGGCATCGGGGTTCCCCTTTGGTGGCACACCACCGCGGTGCAACGTGTTTCGCTACCTTACGCTGGGATCGATGGATTGTCCAATTTGGACGTAAAAATCAAAATAAAACTCGTCCTCGCGATACTTTCCGAACGTCGAGCCGAGAAGTTGACTCGAGAGTTAACGGAAGCCTTCGAGAATACCGGTGAGTCGTTCGATGAAATCACGAAGCCCCTTTTCTTGGAATCAACAAAACAATCGATTGAAATCACTTGAACTCGAAATAATAATAATAATAATAATAATAATTTCTTTTCTTACAATTGAAATTATCACGTTTTTCCAGCCATCTATAAGGTGGAGATCGTATCCCGTATAATACCCGTTAACTTAACGGAGCACGATTTTAAATATACCAATATGGATAAGGTAGCAGCGTCCAATTTCAATCTGGATATTGGTGAACTCTTACTTATGGAGACGAATGCAATATTCGAGCTGATTTACGTTGGTTGGGAACGAGGAATATACTTCTCCCCGCAGACCAGTAAGTTCCTTCGAATTTCTCTATTCTTTTCAAGTCTAAAGTAAAGTCTAATTAGTCTAGATTTAAACCTACTAGTAAAATATTTGTGCCCATCGTCAGTGATCTCTATGATCGATTTGTATTTCAGATGGATCGACGTTGGCTCAAATATTGTCCGAGTGGATGTTGCGCGAAAAATCGCTGATTCTGACGAAGAATGCGCTCGCGGAGCCAACGTTGTACAGCCTGGACGTGGAAAACAGGAGAAGATTTCCAGCTAGTCCGGCTTACGACGTGCTGATCACGGTCGTGAATCCCAACCCAGAAAAACTGAAGGTCGACTGGGATCTGCGCAAGATGGCCGAGAGTGCGTTAAAGTACTTTTCTTTTCTTTTTACAATGATAGGTGTCCAAGCTTATACAGGGTGTAAACGATAACTTTGGCAAAAATCATAGGGTAAGTAGAGGTCCCATAGGCAAGTATTTTAAGCATGGGAACCCGTGTCCGGAAATGCACCAGTAAAAAATTACGGCGATCTTTAACTTCGGTCTTTAGCTCCTGATGGATAGAAAACCCATCGTACTGGAAACTGTTTCTTTTGAGGTGGGTCAGTCGTGTAGGTGACAAAGATGACAAACATTGAAAGTTTTACGATGAACAACGTAAACATTTAATGAAATCATGGTCAAGAAACAATAAACTAAAAAAAGTTTGCCTACCCATCAGACGCGAAAGACCAAAATTAAAGATCGCCGTAATTCTTTACTGGTGCATTTCCGGGCACGGGTTCCCATGCTCAAAATACTTGCCTATGGGACCTCTACTTACCCTATGATTTTTGCCAAAGTTATCGTTTACACCCTGTATATTAATGAGTAATAGTATTTGAAATACTAAAATTAATGATGCATGGTTTTATTCGATGCACTGTGTCATTAAATATTTCTAGCATTAGCGTTGTACAAAAGTCTATTAAAATATTAGTGACACAACTGACAACTTCCTTTCCTGAACACGTCACTGTTGCAACTGTTTCTTTCCGTGTGCACGTGCCTGCGTGTCTACATTTTCTGTTCGCCTTTTTTTCAGAATACGTTGAACCTTTTCTGAGCAAGCTCTCGATCTCGAGCAATTTCTCCGTAAAATCGCAATGGTTGTACTTGCTTCCGCTGGAAGTGAACCCAAAGCGCGTGCCCGATAGCAGCTTGCTGGGCAGACACTTTGCACTGCCGGAGGATGTTCTACCGCAATTGATCACACCGTTGGAGAAGAAACTAGGTAGGCGGATCGACGACGTTCGGTTACAAATGTAACAAAGGCGTAAATAAACGGCAACATCCACGTTTCAGCGTCGCAAGTCAGTCTTCATCCGACTATAAATTTCGTAATCTATGCTGTTCCATGCGACAATGCTCCGCTGCATATTTACACGCGTTCCGGGCATAGGTCGAAAAGCAACGTCAACGTTGAAGCGTTTCTGTCGCCAAGGTAACGCGTATCCGACGATTAAGTTTCAACACTAGGTTTACGTGTACCTACTTCTATCAGAGGGGTTTCTATAAGCAAACAATAATAGATATAAAAAATTCACCTAAATTTTTCGAGGGGAACAGAAGTCAAAGAATTTCAAAGAGTAAGATGTACCTAAAAAATGAGTATTTATTATTACAAATTACAGAACAAGTCGTTTTGACCTCCTTGGTAGATTTAGTGTTAATACGGAGAACGAATACCTGCTTAAATCGTAGCCAATCGTTACGCGATTCATTGTGTCTACATTGCGTTGTTTTAATTCATATATAGGTGGGGCGGTGTGGTGTTTATCAATCCATCTTTAGAGGCTTGTGCTGACGCAAAATCCAATGAATCGGTCACCATTGTTCCGGAGGAGATTACCGTCATTGGCACGTTTCTCGCCCAGCTGAAACTTCTTCTAGGTATTCCCGAGCCGGTAATCGAACGATTTGCTATACCAGTTTCCGCCGATAACACATTAAACCACAGTGACCAGTAACGAGCGTTGGTCCAGGTTTGTTAGATTTCATTTTTTCTTATTTCAGAAACCCTTGCACAACGTTTTGACCCTCCCTCCGAGTGAATTTAAATTGTACAATTGGGAGGTCGATGCTTTGTTGCGCATTCGCACGATCGAGCAACTGACTTCGGCTAAGTTGACGCTACAGTCGCTCGCCCGACTTCTTAAAGAAATCGGGAACATCGTGATCACGGACGTCGTAGGGGATAGGATAAAAACTGCCTTACGTTTAGTGGAGAATTCAGCCGAACGACTGGCTGCGGGCGATCTCAGGCAGGGTTTTCTGCTGAGCAAAGAAGCGTTCGTTGCAGCAGAAGCTGCATTCTCAGACCCGACGCTCTTAGCTTTGCTATATTTCCCAGAGGATCAAAAGTAAGAAAGAAGAACTTTCCTCTTCCGATTGCGGGATTATTTTATATTATTTTTTTCAGATACGCCGTGTATATACCTCTTTTTCTACCAGCTATGATACCAGTATTACTTTCTTTAAAGAATATATATAAACATTACTCCCTTCGAAAGGTCAACGCGTGAAGGAAACCGGTCATTGTAAGACAACGAACGAGAAAAAAAAAAAAAGTATGATAATCGACAACATTACAACGACGTGTAACGGCAAGGCACGATGTCTCTGCGTTATAATATATGTATGATTCTATATTTTACCTGTGTTCAGCAGTAGAAACGGGGAACTCGACTGACGAGCGTTTCGAAACCTCATTCAGGGACTCTAATATAGATCGAACAGTCGCAAGTATTTTTCGGAATCCGTTGCGCTCGTTCCTCGTATGCCAAACGTTCCGAGTTTCATGGTCTCTTGCGCAGTCAAGGGCGTTGTATATTCAATGAACAGCGAAACAAACGATAGAAATAAAAACAATAATATTTTTTATTGTACAAAGAAAATGGTTGCGAAATTATTAAAAGAAAGAAAGGAAAAATATATTGAGCCGGTCAGTGTTCCAACGATGAGTGTCGAATGACTTTTAAAACGTTACACATAACTACAGTTTCGTTTTTTTTTCTTTGTCGTGCATCGAAACGTACATATACGTAATTCAGAATTATAATTTTCTTTAATTTTCCTTGTCCATGGATAACGCATTCGATCGTATCACTCGTCATAGCGTACAACACCGTAAGATAGCGCTACATAAGATGCCTGTCCGTCGTACAGGTACGCGTCTCTGTTCCTGCCTGTACAAATTCACGCACGCAACCGCACGTTTGCATCCACGCACTCTCGCATGCTCCCACGCGCATTCAACGCGACCAAACGTTTTTTTTCCACGCACTCCCATGCATTCTTCCTACCAAAATTTTAAATTAATTATCATTAGATCGTTAGAAACAACTAATAATATATATACAATACACGTGTATCAATCCTCAACCAGTTAAAAGGTTACAAAATTACCAAATTGAATTGCTATAAAAAAATATGTTCAACCATCGTGAGAAGTATCCACTAAAATTTGAGAAAGTCGACCGATCGTGACTCGATACAAAACTCGGTGCTAAATCGTAGTTAATTGCTATAGGTGTCGCGTCTCGCGGGTGACAATGACAAATTGTTCATCGCGGTTTTTTCTTTGTCTTACGGATCTCGCCCGGTAGTTGAACATCGCTAAGAGTAAAAATAAATTAATCGGTGAATCGAAAAGCTTACTCGTATGAAAAAGAAATAGAAAAAAAGAAAGAACGTCAACGAAGACTTTGAACTAGCTGTATCGCGTGTTGCAGAGCATCTACGATATTCTGAAAAACAGGTACACCTTCGCGCGTCGCGTAGTCCGACAGGTACATTCTTCCCCGGTTGTAGTCTTTTGTGGCTTGTTCGGTTAGCTAAACGAAAAAGTTGTTTTTCTATATACAGAGCAAGAAATGGAGGAACAAGAGGAAAAAAATGAAATGGATAAAGGTGGAGGAGATATAAAAGTACAATATACGTACATTCAGATACGTTACACGAACGCTTACCTTCTCGCCAGAAACTACGCAATCTTCGGGAAGCGTTTGAACGCACAGGACCAGTTTTGCGCGTAATCCGATCAGATAAGCTGCAAGTGCCATTATGGTGATGCCACGAGAGTGCTGTGGCACGATTAACAATATTAACCGGGAATTTTTCATTTTCTGTAATTCTTGTGGCAACACCTTTACGTTGTACTCATTCAGGCCTGGTCGGTACAGAGATAAACCGCTAGATCTAAAAAGAAAAATAACTTACACGTAGACTCAACGACACTGTCGCAATATCGAGAATCGAAAGAACGTTACATCTCGGATGCTCACTCGATGGAGGATGCTGCAGTTGTTTCTAACCAAAACTGATCTTTGCCGATTACTCCAATGTACAAGTCTCTCTTCTCGGTTTCAGGCACGAAGGAATTGGTCCAATCTAAAAAGTTTAATGGTCGCACGAATCGTACATAACTGTTCTCGGGAACACTTTGAAACTGATCGAGGCGCGAGCGTCTTGCGATGACCTGTTCGCTTTCATACACGTTAACGATACACGCGACGGATCATAGGAAATGGTTTAGAATAGGAAATACCTAGGAAACGGTTAAAAGGTTGCACGATAGCTCTGCGAAGAAATTTTGAAGCCTTCCTACATAATATACTCCAAACTGAAGGTATCTCACTTTCACAAGAAATGCCGTTTGTCTTCGTCCTCCAAGCTGATTCGGTGGCTAGGGCGTAGAACTGTTCAAAGTTTATCCGCAATTCCATTAAATCTCTCTTGGCTGGAAATGCATCGTCTATCAACGTCCTATATGTTTCTAAAAGCATACATGAATACGAGGGGTGGAAAATATAGGCAAATTTTCTTCGCCGCCTCGGCCACGTGGCATCGTCAGTTTTATTATTAAGGAAATATAAGAGTTTATTACCCGATTTATTTACGACATTCAGAAGATCCGAAACCGACAAGTTGCATTTGACATTCGATTGTAACGCTACCCAAGCCTACGAAACGAAGAAATCGACACAAAGGCAGGTAATATGTTGTACCAATTTTATCGTAGGTAAACGCACTTTTTGACAGAAAAGATATTAAGATTTGATGAACTCACTTCTCCTAATTTAACGCTTCCGCTGTCATTAATATCCATGGACTTGAAAATCTCCCTTAGCGTACTACAAAAGAGTAATTTAGAATTGGACATTGAGTACGACGCGACTCTCGCATAAGCGTGTATACACGGATATCGAAAAAGTCTTACACCGCGTCCATTCCATTTTGACTGAGTGAAATTTTAATTGGTCTAGTGCCATCTTCGGAATGCAGATCTTGCACGTTAACCTCTTCGCGCAGAACCTACGACGCAACCATATTTGAACCAGCGTTGAAATCTGATACGCGAGAAAATAATTGTGCAATTACTTGCTTTTACTTTCTGTCTATTGATTACCTTGGACGTACAATTAAGAGCAACTGATACACTCTCGAATATTGGTATCCTCTGTCTCTCCATAAGGTACTGAAGTACCAATAGTCCATTCATCAAGTCGTAATATTCCCTAAACAAAAGGTTTAGCGTTTGTCAAGAATGTATTGCTGACAACGAAGGCGCGTTAACTCGGCAGCACGATGATTAACCGAGGTGAACAACCAGAAAATGTTCATTCAAACGTAGCAGTTTGCATTTATGACTACTTGCTACAAAAATTTAACCCATAAATAATCATTCGAGTTAACCATCATGTTGCGAAGAGTTAACCGACGGAAACTGAAAGTCTTACTGAGTGGATACAATCTCGCCGAATATCATTTGACCCTGACGATACGGATAAATAACTAGAATTAAAGACTCGCGACGTGTAGCTGCTAACTGAGCTGCTTCAATGATGCCTGCGCTATTTCGCGTTTGGTTATCAATCACAAAGAGTAACACTTTCGCCGTCTGTTTCGCTTCATACTCTTGAGCTATCAGTTCTGGTCCCCAGTGCGACACTTGCTAGAACGTACAATGTACAATTACATAAACTGTTAATACATCACGTATGAAACCAACGAAGATCATGAAAAACACATACGGGATTGTAATAAGTAATTCCGAGGCTCTGAAGAGTCGGTATCGCTATTTCTGACCTCCATGTGGTGGGATTACAAGATCCACCCAGAAATACCTCATATGCCATTCTCTCTATAAAGCATGTAATTACAAAAAAAAAAACACCATAAACGAGTGATATAAGACTCAGTTTATGCAAAATTTTTATATACGTCTATGTAATGCTGTAGACTCACTTGAACCGCTTTTGCTGTTCGTATCCTTTCCATCACAGTGTAACGAACGAGAGGCGCTCATAGAAACGGCTGTTCTGCAATCAGACGTACACGAGTTAGTCTCGATTGAAAAAGATGTTTTTTCATGAATTGAAGCAGTATTATCACACTCAAACTATACAAGTCAGTCTTTTAAGTGGTTTGCAAGAGGATTCGATATATCCAGCTCATTTGGTACAAATGTACAAGTTGAACCTATCTCTGTTGGAGTGTGGTAATAAAATCATTATGCCGATTGTTAATTTAACAAACCTACTTCCCAATATCAAATCCTTTTGCAACAAGGAAAAGCACGCTACGCTGCATTGTCGATAAAATGTTTCTACCGCAACAAATTGTAACCAGAAATTTGTTGCTTTGTGCCTAGAACATATGTATTTACCATTGTTGCCAGATTCAATTGTATAGTAAAATTGATGCTTACAACCAAGGCATAAGTGATAATCATCCATTCATTTTGGACTAATACTTATCAATATAAACACATATTTGTATTACCCTTTCTTGCACAAACGTGCCAATTCAACGACGAACATGTAAAATTCTTGGAGCATTATATAGGTATCTAAACAGATGATCGAGCAATCTTCAGTAAGTTGATGCTCTTTGCATATTTGCATCCAGTTTACAAGCAACAGCATTACGTAGTATGTGTCTTTCACCTGAAACAATAGTATATATTTGTAATAAAAATTTATTAACACGAATGATATATATACTCCTGATATAACTATACTTACACAGATTTTGTCGATACTTATCGACATATGCATTTATTGATGTATGATAAGACCTCATTGTTTAAAAAATGACACACAACCAAACAGGCTTATGTCCATCCAATGTATCTACCCTTTAATCGTCCAATAGAGGAGAATTTTGGATTTTCCTATTTAAAAAAACAGCGCTTTATTGATGCTGTATGCATGGGTCAAATTATATTCTATTACATCGCGTCTTATTAATATCACTGTCAGTGCCAGTACCAAGATAAGTTAAATTTCGAGAGAGAGAAGAGTTCCGAATAATAGTAAAAACAGGTAAACAGTGAAACGCAATTTGTCAAAAATACTAAAAAGTTAAAAGATCACGAGGATCACGACGGCATACACAAGGTTTATATTTAAGAAAGCTTAATACGTAGTATTACTATTGACAGGTACACAAGTTAGAGCGCACGATTTAATTACCTATTGCAACTACTCGATACTACCCACTGAAAACGAGCTTATAAGAATCGAGGGACGATGGAGAGTCTGTCAGACACACTAACCTTGACGATAGTTCGGTGCTGCATGCCCACGCATGAAAAACATATGTGGTAAACTTCGAGGAGAAAACCATCGATTCTGACTGCATTTGACGTGCATTCATCTAAGAGTCACAAGCGTAAATAAAAACCGCGTCAACCGAACGTAAATCCTTTGGAAAAATTAACGGTGAGAGCTCCGTTTGTGCACCCTGCTATTGCTCATACTTATTTATACACCGTTATATTTAAAATGTAAGAACGCGTCGTCGAAGAACCACTGCTAGGTGTGGATCACAAATAAGTTACATATTCGTGAAAACTCTCCCCAACACTAGTGACATCGCGCGCAATCTTATCCGCGCGAAAAGTACCCCTTCGTTCGAAAGCGCAACGCACTCGATCCGCATCGAGCTGTTCCGTCGAAATCAGTAACCGTCGATGAAATCACAAATCAGCGCTCTACCACCGTTGAACGTCGCGCTTCGTATCGTTCTCCTCGTCTATCTTTTATACGCTCTTCCTTTTCTCTCTCGCACCCCTCCCCTTTCAGCCGTCTTGTCTATCCCCCTCGGTTACCCTCTCTCCTCCCGACGTCGACACAATACCCTTTCTCCTTTTCTTTCCTTATTGTAAATTTTGTGTCGATACATCGAAACGTTTAATTCTCATTCTACACATCGATCACGAGTATCCGCGTTTATAATTTCAACCGAAGCTTCAATGGTTTTGTCGTTAATTTTGTTTAGATGAAAAACGACGTGCTCAATACGTTTCGCGCAGTCGCAACGGTGATTCGCGTGTTTTTCGCCTCTCTCGCCTCTAACACTTCCCGCCACTCGTCCACACGCGTCTCTCTCTAGACTACCGTAGATCGCGCGCACCAACTCAAGACCAGACTCGAGAATGACGTAAACCTCCAACAATGAAGCGTGATGTCACACACATTGAAGTTCGTAGAGGTTGCTCTCACCGTCGCCATCGCCATCGTCATCGCCATCACTGTCACCATCACTATCCGCCCAGGGATTTTCGATTCAGCGACAGTCTCGTTTTGTTTAAAGCGCGTTGAAGTCTCTGTATACGTCTATTATATATTATTGGAATCGTCTATACGCGATTTTTTCCTACGTTTCGTCGTACGTAACGACCAAATTATGAGCCAAGAGTAAGATAACCGCTGTTAGCAAAAGCAAATTATTTTCAAAGGCGCGGTCAAACACGAGAATGAGAGAACCATAAGGAACTGACTGACGTCACTTTAGTCTATACTACTCGTGCACGTCCAATGCGCACTATGTTTGACATTCTTCTATTCTTTTCAATAACCCGCCGTCCATCTAACGCCATTTCTTTGGTCCTTTCCTCTATACTCTTCGACATCTTGGTCATGCAGGTTACCACCTGCTTACCACCTTATCACAGTCATTTACTATTAAGTAAAATGAAACTGAATTCTTTTGTTCTTTCGAATTTATTATCTCGATTACCAAAAAGGTTACAATCAATTATAATATGTTTATGAAATACATATATATGTATAAATGTAGCATAAAATGATTTGATATTACGCAAATGATGTTTACAGATTATTTAAAATACACGAATTGCGAATAATGCTTTATATGTAAGCAACTGAATGTATTAGAAGTGTGATATAGTATGCACTCAAAATCGAGGTATCTCGTCTGTGATTGAGTCATTCAATTCATTGGGTTTTTATATAGGTGGCAGTACAGTACTATGTCGAATAGATACAATCTTATCTGCAGCCGATTAAAAGAATATTTCGTTTTATCACAGACGAGGTATACGAAGTGCAATCGTGGTTTTATACATTTAAGTCAGTATTTTAATCGTTAGAATTGCTGGTACACTATTTGTCAGAAACAAAAATAAAAATAAAAAACGTCTTCGAGTCGGATTTTCACATTTCCGAATGTAAATGTTTTGTATAGAAATATTCGTGGTAGAGAACAGTCGCGTACATGTGAATACGCCTCTAATTTGAACGGCTAATGCTTGTACTGAGTTTCCAATCTATAGTTGTATAAATCGTGGATAAACATTAGTTACGCGTTCCCGTGTTTGGCTGGTGTCACGTTCGTTGCATGCGTACTGTGCATTTTCCGGTGTAGCGTGATAAAGTGAAGACAGTAGAATGATCTAGACTCTTCGCAAAAATGCTTGGTATAATTGTATCTGGTCGATTTGTAAGTGTGAATCTTTTTCGTGATAATGAATACTGAATTTGTGATTCGTTTATGTTATCAAATCGACGGTTTCATGTAAATAAACTATTTATGTTGAATATATAAATTCACATCTACAAGATTTGTTTAAATAATCTTTTGTAATTTCTCATTTGTTTGTTGTTGAGTTTTATTCTTACTAGGTTTTGATAATACTCTTGGTGTACCCTATTTTTTTCATCATTAACATGTCACAAGCATCTCAATTTGCAATTTTTGGCGAACTAATCTAACATACATCTTTATATCTTTGCAGGTACAAACAGATTTCCAGCAAATAGGAGATAATCAGTTTTTGATAACAGTACCTGATGCGGATAACATAAATCATATTGTGATATTCCTTACAGGTGTTGTACCATTTCCTGATGGAGCAGGTGGTGCAGGTATGTATCATATTGTTACAATTACATGTATAAAAGCTATATTCTATAACATGATGCACAATTTTTTTATAGCCATTTAAAACTACTGTAAATCTAGTAATCTGTTGGTACAATTATTGTATAATATGCGGTCTTATTTGAAAAACCTAAAGTGCCCTTGATTTTGCTATGACAACAATTTTAAAAATTTGTATTATTGTCATTTGTTGTGTAATCAATATCAACAAATTTTTCCAAAACTTTTTTGTCAAATGGCTGCAAATGGTTGAAAAATTGTGGACACCTGAATAATGGTGTTCATGTAAAATTAATCAAAATTCAATTTTTTCAGTATATTTCAGTTGGCCGGATCCAACAGCCCCACCAAATTGGCAATTTCTGGGATATATCTCGAATTGCAAACCATCAGCCATATTTAAGATATCAACACTGAAGAAAAACCATGAATTTGAAAATAGTAATTTAGGAATTTTCGGAGTGGGAAAGATTTCCCATGTAGCACAAATAGGAATTTCAATTGAGCCTCTTGGAGTCATAGAGCAGCAAGCAGCTACAGTGTCTCTAGCCATATCAAACTCTTTCTTGGATTTTGTTCAAAAGATGATTACCAGCTTTTTGAATTATGTATCAAGTTTTTCAGTGACTCAGGCACAAATGACACCAAATCCAACTGAAAATTTTGTACCACTGTCTACTATCCAAGGATGGTATGAAACTTTTGAGAGAAGGTTGCAGCAAAATCCAAATTTTTGGAAAGCATGATGGGAAACTGTGAATAACCGATTCTCATTAGTTGATTTCCATTTTGCATTAAGACGACACGCCAATCTTTATTGTACACACTTTCTTTCGCGAAAGAAAGTGTATTGCATACATGAATTACCATTTTTTATATTTTCACCAGTATGTTAATAAGAATATGTACGATACTATCGCGTACTATATATAGAGTTTGCCACCTCTAAGCTATCGACGCAATATCGACTATGTTTATATTGTAAAAGATAATTGTATTTATGAATTCTGAATTTATTATTATCAATTACACAGCTAGTGTACGGTTTTCGTTGCGAATGTTCTGCGATCTATGAAAAATGCACTTGCAATATTGTAAAAGTAAAACATAAATATTCAATTTTTGATAACGCAAAACTAATCATATACAAATCCATGATTAGTAATTTAGAAAACGTATGTGTCAGCGTTAATTTTATTCGAATTTCGATATAATTATCACGAAAATCTCTATGGTGGAAACTGCAACAAGTGTAGCAGTAATGTTTACCATACAGCTCTGTATTTTTATGAAAACAAGGTTACAATTCATTGATGCATGCTTGCATAATAAAATTCCCTCGACAATATTATATATATATATATGAATGTGTTTGTGTGGTGTGTGGTGTGTGTATATCATATATATATATATATATATATATATATGCATGATACATCAGTCCACCCATCATATGCATACAAAATGCATGACCATGGTTGTATATAACGCATAATAATAGGTGTTTTCTATTTTGTGAAGTTCGATGTTAAATATTAGCAATTGTTAAAAGGAAATAGACTATTGGTAATATAATGACCAATGACAAGATAACTTAAAAGTTCTCTGTGAAAAGTTTCGTTCGTTGGAAATCGTTTAGAAGAAAATGCTTGAGCAATGGAAAAGCGGCTTGATTTGTATTATAGACTAATCTGTCAGTGTAACTTTCACATCGGGCTGAAGGAGTATCTTTTATAAAAATTAATTGGAAATCGAGTAAGTCTTGACATTATTGTCTCGTTAGGGCTAAAGAAAAAAAAACAGTCGATTTGATTGATGAACATTGTGTGCGCGATGCTAGCCATTTTTGCGAACCATCGTAACGAAAAGTAATCGTGTTTGAATTCAGCTCGCATGAGATTAGTTACGGAGTCGTTCATCCCGTAAGGTATCTGCGTACGTACTAAAGAATTTGAAAGATCTACATATTCGACAAAATCGAAATCGACGGCATCGTATCTCTTTACGGGAGAAATGGATGGCCTCAGTGTCGAGTAATGTCCTTAAACTGTTTCTTGTGTAAACGACTGTCTATGGATTGTGTATGAAGTATCAGAACGGTCATTGGATATCGTCCATCGCGGAGAAATTTCGCAGTCCAAGGTAAGGTATCGTCGTTCACTGTCTATCATCGTTTGCTAGAAAAATTACAGCCTTTACGGCTGCTCTGCTTGAAAGTGCTTCGTGCTTTTAACGTTCCTGTTTCTTCCAACGTTACGTATAATTCCGTTTAGTTTGGCAATCGTCTGTAATCGAATAACGTATAGAGTTAGCAGTGCCGCGTGTAGTTGTGAACGAGTATACATAGATTTCAAAGATTTTGCTAGTTTTGCGGAATTTTAATTCGTGTAGTTTGTTTACTTGTGATTTCTGATAAATCTGCTGTTTAAAGTGTCTCGAGAGTCTTGGCAGCATTGAAAATTTACCACGAAATACGTGTTGGTTTTTCTGTCGTGATCATTGATTCTTTAAGTATTAAGAGAGAAACTTTTATTCTGTGCGTTTACTTTCGTTCCAAAACATTTTCGTGTGTGGTGTACTGTTCTAGGATGATAGAAGTCGACAAGTGGTAACAAATAATCGTGGCATTCATTACCGTTTCTTTACATCGTATCAGTGACACATCTGTTTGTGTATTTTCTCGTTTCGTGTCGGGTGATCGCAAATTTATGATCACAAGTCGCGATTCGTGTGATAGTGTTTTTACACGATATGCTCGTCAAACGGTAGATCGCGAACGACAGTGCAACTATTCGTAAATTTGCGATGACGTGTACTAGTAATTATACAAGTCCATTAAAATACCTAAAATGGATATGTATGGTGTAGTTATGTCATTGGGAAAAATTGTAACATCTGCCTAATATAAGTGTACTTTAATGCATAGTAGTGAATCTATATGATTCGATTTAAGAAGTTCTAGTAATCTAGCCTCAGGTTGTATACATAGATGATGCGAATAAGGTACAATCCACAAATGAAATTTCTCACCTTTGAGAAGAAGAATGAAGTTTCTAAATGATATGTCATAGAACGGAGATGGAGAATTCAGAAGAGCCAACAAGTTTGCAATCTATCTGTCATTTACATGTTTCGGAATTGTTTCCAAAGCACACAAATCTTGAATGCGAAGATGAAACACTTGCGATTCCATTTACTCCTCTGAGTGGAGAATCCATTGTAGCACTTGGACGTACATCGGATGGAGTGTTGGCTCTTTCTAATTATAGACTTTATTTACAATTGAGTCAAACGTGCTACAATATCCCGTTGGGTTTAATTGAACAGCTAGAAGTTAAAGAGATTTTCTTCTTACATATCAGTTGTAAAGATGCACGTTCTCTGAGGTATGATGTTATTTTATTTATATAAACTGTATCTTTGTACATTAATAGCAAATCATTCGCACTTTGATGTTTCAGTTGTGCCTTTTCCACGAATGAACATTGTTTAGAATGGTTTAAGAGACTACATAAAGTGACTTATCCACCTAAGAGCATAGAGGATATATTTGCTTTCGCATATTATGCTTGGTCTATCGAGGAAGGCAATGATTTTTCTAAACTTGGAAAGGACAATACTTCCTATACTGCTACCTTTAACTCAGAGGTAATTAAATCATATGGTACATTGTAATTTCGGTAGATTTGATTATTTTATTGCTGTTTCTTAGGTGGAACGACTGAAATTTAATTTGCACGGTACATGGCGTATCAGTCAAATTAATAAAGATTATCGAATGTGTCCGTCGTATCCACCGCTGCTCTTGGTTCCTGCTTGCATTTCCGATGCTATTCTGGATATGGCGGCCAAGTTTCGTAGTTCTCGTCGAATTCCTGCTGTTGTTTGGAGGTATTATGGAAAAATAACTTTCATATTATTTTAAAATATTGTTTTCTTTAATGTTGCCTCTCTTGCTTTGCAGACACGTGAACAATGGTGCAGTGATAGCACGAAGTAGTCAACCGGAAGTCGGTTGGCTCGGTTGGAGAAGTGCAGAAGACGAAGCTCTTCTGAAAGCTCTTTCACACGCATGTTCTTACGATAAAGGTGAATCGACGATGGTGGATTCTCCTATTACTTATCCCAATGCTGGCGTCAATGGTACTACAACAAATAATACCAAAGTGGGTATCGGATATTACGGACAAATTTGAAGCGTTTCTTTCAAATCATAATGCGTTTTCATTGTTCGATAACTTTTTTTGTTTCTTCCGCGTCTTTGTATCTTTGTAGACTAGAGGGGTTTCCCCGTAAATAAATAAATAAATAAATAATGCGTTACTTGCAGAAAGTTTTAATCGTGGATGCCAGATCGTACACAACCGCTGTGGCGAATAGAGCGCGCGGTGGTGGTTGCGAATGTCCCGAATATTATCCCAGTTGCGATATACAGTTCATGAATTTACCAAACATTCATTCTATACGGAAGAGTTTTCACGCATTGAGGCAACTTTGCGCATCAAATACAGATCAACCCAAGTAAATGAATATTCCATTTCATTATACATTTCGTATAGATCATACTTATAATCTGTGAGTTTCTTTTTTTTTTTTAGACACTTTTAACGAATAATTTTCTTCTGTTTTGCAGCTGGCTCAGTCTATTAGAAGGGACACGGTGGTTACAACATATGTCTGGATTACTACGTGCAGCAGTGACTGTTGCATCTGCAATAGAAAGAGATGGTCGACCGGTATTAGTACACTGTAGCGACGGTTGGGACAGAACGCCTCAGATAGTTACTTTAGCGCAGATCCTCCTTGATCCGTATTACCGAACTATGGAGGTATGCCGAAGGTACTCCCATTTACTCTTTTTGTTCGTTACAGAACAGTCGTTTTGTTATTCTGCTTTATCGTCGTCAGGGATTTCAAATCTTATGCGAGAGAGAATGGTTAGACTTTGGACATAAATTCGCGGATCGTTGCGGACAAACAGTTGGTTATGGAGATCTAAATGAACGATGTCCGGTATTTTTGCAGTGGCTTGACTGTGTACACCAGTTAACCCTAAAATTTAAGTGTAGTTTTCAGATGTCTCCGGCGTATCTTGTGAGTATACTGACATAATTCATATTTACTATTTTCATCTATTTGTTTGTACATACGCAAATGTTTGAAACACGTGTCGTTCAATTTCTGACGGTACAGCGCCAACACCGTTTGACCCAGACTCGATTAATTTCAGGTGAAGTTAGCACAGCATACGTATTCGCAGCTTTTTGGTACGTTCCTTTGCAATAGGAGACAAGAGAGGCTACAACTGACAATACGGGATCGTACATTTTCAGTTTGGCGCTTCCTGAATTCCAGTTCGTTCGTAAATCATTTATACACGCCTTTAAAGAATCAAGTAGGATATTTTTCATCTAATATAACAGTATATATCAGCGGTTGTGATAAATTCGTAATACGATTATTCATTTTATTTTGCTTTTGACAATCTTGTTACATTTACACCTTGCGTGCGCGAAGCGCATATTCGAACGTATGTATGTGATCGACGATTTTTTTGTTACCAGGTATTATGGCCAAGTTGTAACGTTCGGGACCTTGTTTTGTGGGCCGAGGTATATTTAGGTTCTACGGAATCCTCTCTAGATATCAGGGATGATAAACAGAGAGTAACGATGATAGATATTGAGAGTGGTGAAAGCGAAGAACCACAGGGACAAATGACTAAAACTCGATCATATGGGGATCTTATGCACACTCCCGATCACGCGGCCTACCTGCACCGTAGACTCAGCGATCCAAGTATTTCGGTGGAAACGTAATCACCGTTTTTGTTTTTCATATATATTAATAGAGTAGTAGTAATGTACATAAGACAAGAGAATAAAGCGAAAATGTCACCATTAGCGAAATAATCTGATTTAGAAAGCGTAAACGTAGGCTTTCTTTGCGGTTTGTTTAAAAGAAACTATTAGACCTATCGATTTTAAACTTTGTACATTTGGACTTTGTATATTTACGCATGTTGCAGTACTTCATAAGTTTTGTCAAGCATCAATGATACAGAGAATGTTGAGAGGGCTAGTAATTGTTAGTCTTTATCCCTTGTTGCGGAGTGGCTAGAGAGTAGATTACATGCTTGTGATCTCAGGATAGACACGCTCTGACAGTGTTATAAGCTCGACAGCTTAATTCAAAGTCTTATAACTCCGCAGTTTTTTTAAAATTTTGACAATACCTTGTCAATACTTGAGAACTCCAAGAAAATGCACACAAAAAAAAAGGATCGATATTATCGAAGTTTGAGATTAGATTATGCATCTCTGTACGAAATTAATACTTTATCGTGCCCTGCGTATGTTTTTCTCGCCGAAAATTGTGATGTAGCTTGTGATCGCGTCGTTCGTAACGTCGTTACAGAAAGTTCGATTCTCTGACGCTCGATGCAGAAACGATGGAAAAGGATGTAAATGACGACGTAGAATGTAAGACTGAAAACGAGAAAAGAATTACGCCAGAGAACGAAGACATATCAAAGCAATGCAATAACACGACTGAAGTCTCGAATGACTCGCCAGCGAATCCATCGGTAGAGAGTTCAACGGACACACTGATACATAGCAACGATTTTTTACTCGGTACTAGCACCAATATCGAAACGTAAGTATTACATGCCGTGAAACTGGACCGAGCTCGAATTTGAATGCTACATGCTTGAGACTCAAGTCCGAGTGCGAGTTCAAATCTACAATCAATCCAAGTTCGATTTGAACAAGAAAAAGTTTTTTTGTCGAGTAGCAGGTCGCAAAAAAACTCGCCGCAGGACATCGTTTTGCCGTGGATCGAGACAAACACTAACGGTCGAACAGTTTGTTCTTGTAATCGTAACTACAATCACAACTTCAACGAGGGCAGCGACATCAGCGACACCAGCGTGCCACTGATATCGAGAACACCCAGTAGCGTTTGTCCAGCATCCCCGACTCGTCAGGACATGATGCCAGACAATCTTGACAGGTTAGACGACGTCGATGGTCTTCCCGTTGTACATTGCGATGTTCAGATGCGCGTGCAACAGATTATCGTTGAGCACAAGGTATGTAAACACATTTTGGTTTGCGTAAGATAAGCGGGAAAAACAAAGAGAACAAATAAAAAATACGTTTGATGAACGAAGTCACGAGTCTGTGAACGGTCACGGTGTTTTGTGTCTTGCGATTTTTCAGCTAAAGGAAGAAGCGTTAAAGAAGGAGTTGCATACGACGAGGGTGGCTCTGATCAAGCAAGTTTGCAATCATAACGCGGACACTGATCGCATCGACGATATCGTGAGTGTTTTCAAAGACGTTGCTGAATGTTTTCTCGGGAGAAGAATAATTTTGATTCGGCTTGTTAAAGAGTAATCGGAGATAGCCAGAAAAAAAGGAAGGTATTGCTCGTGTTCCAGAGATCGTTGCCCGATTCGGTGGGAAGTGCCGGCGATCACGGGGAGTCGTTACCATCGGATATGTCTTGGGAAGCTGTCGAAGAATTGGGTCCTGCTCCTACACTTTGGGTACCTGACCATGCGGTAAATCGATGCATGGGTTGCGATACAGAATTCTGGCTCGGAAGGCGCAAGCATCATTGCAGGTGAAATAGAATATTTACTGCGAAATTGACACCCGTGTGCTGCTTCGTTTGGTTTCATGGAACTAACGCGTACACCTACAGTGCAATGTTAAAGCCATAGGTTAGAACAAACCTTTACGATAGGGGGCGTTCCGATAGGTGGCGTGCGAGTCATCAATGTTCTGCTAACGTCTTGTGTCAGCCAGTATACAACAACCTTGCACGTTGAAAATTAATTACGAAAATTATTACGACTATGGTCTCTATGATGGTGTTGTATCTGCCGACGTATCATTATCTCTGTCTCTCTCGTAGATGTTGTGGCAAGATATTCTGTGCGGATTGTTCGGAGAATTCAACGCCGTTACCCAGCGAACGACTGTACAATCCCGTGAGGGTTTGCAGCGATTGTTTTAACCGAATCCATCGGCGTACAAGCCCCTGCCAGTGTAACGCTCGTCATCAAAACAAAGGCGATAACGACACGGAGCTTACGTCGAACTCTGAGAGCTTGATGACTTGTCAGAGACCGAAGGGTTTAAACGTGACTAAAGACAGCTGTTGTGACAATTTGATGCAGATTGCGCATCAGAAAGCGCAACCACCGGTCACAGCAGCCACGGTAAATTGAAAGCTCGTGAGAAATAACGACGAGGAACAACAACGCAGCATTCGGGTTTCGATTTGGCTTTCGACAGGACGATGTTCGAGCTCGGAGAGTATTCACGAGTGGTACCGGCGTGCGCGATTATCGGGTGTTTTAAGTTACACGCAGAAGTTGTGTCGTAAATCGATATGGTACAAGTGTCGCACGATCGCCGCGCTAAATTCTACGAGCGATTTAATATTTATTGCTAGTGTAATAATTTGTACGAAGAAGTGTATAGCATCAAAGAGAAAACGAGTCAGTATACGAGGTGTTGTATATACGTTAGGAGTTATTCGATCCAACGAGACACCTGGCTTCTTTGAACGAGACTACTCAAGTTTCCCCGTTTTTAGGAAATCTTTTTATCCTCGTGAGGTACAGTGAGGCGGAGGCCGAGGAACGTTTTGGATAGGCTGTGACTGACGTCTAGTTTTTAGACACCGTACGTGGTGCGATCTTAATTAATTGTCGATCGAACGATGGAACAACTCGTTAATTAGTAGTTGGATTACGATACGAGTAACCTGTATTTGTATATTGCCGCTGTTTACGAGAATTGGAATATTAAATGTCATTATCGTATATGGTCGTCTGTCTGTCTGTTACTCACTCGTTTTACACATTCGCGCGCGCGCACACAGACAGAGTATAAATATCGAAATGTAGAACGAATATCCCGATCAGAAGCCTGTCTTCAGTCCTGTAAAATTCTGCAGCGACGACGAGGCGGTCTTCAATATTTGCGTCGCGTTTTTTATTATGTCAACTTCTCCCTTTGTGTCGTCCGCATTCTGAAACTGTATCAGTATGACGAGGTATGTTGTCACCACCCCCGCGATCTAAAACACAACGATGTATGCACGTGTTCCCTTTCGCGAATACACTGTACGACTATTTTTTTTTTTTTCTGCGCACGATTACTTTGTACATACGTCCTTACCGACGTTATCAGCGTTCTGTCCAACGAAAAGAGTCCGCACGCTGAAAATTCAAGTGGTCGATGCAATAGTTGAAGAGAAAATATTTCCAGTTGCTGTCTATCATCCGCTTTGAAGTTAGAGGAAAGTAACTGACTAACGAGAACCGCCGTTCTCTTTCCCTGAAACAGAATATCCCGTGACATGTTGGATCCATTCCTAACTGTCCCTCATTGCTGTTCACCTCACCTCCGCGATAGTGAAATAGCTGGGTTGAACGATTATCAACATCCTAGATACGTGAAAGATACACCACATACACTGTACTATCAGATATATCCATTCGTGTTTCTCGTTTGCTTGTAAGATCAAGAAGTATGGCGTGATGATTAGGTGCAACAAACAAGTTACACTAACGGCCAGTATCACCATGCCGAACGTACTGTTTATAAGAGAAACCACATCGCAGAGCGACGAATGTATCGTTATTAATTCGGATATACCGTTTACGTACGGTTTGCTTTCTGTAAATAGACGGTGCATGAAATTTTATAGAAACAGTATTCAAATTCCGCTGGAACAGACTTACCCACCGTTCAAATTCCGAGAGTTTCGATAACTACCCAATCTGTGCGGCGCAACGTTTGATGTTAACTTGCGAACATCACTGGCTGCCGTTGCTGCTGCACGGTTGGCGCATTATTAACCAAAATAGACGCGTTTTCATCGATATAATATGCGAACGTTAACCCCTTAACGCATAGAAAATTTGTGGCGAATGGAAACGACTAAACGATACTAAACTTAACATTTTTTTTTTTTTTACACAAATAAGAAAATGTGTCAAGTCAACTTGTATTATTTTTTATGAGAAAATAACACGAATTTGGAATATATTTACAAAAATTTAATGGGTTAATGTATCATCGTAATGCTTCAAGGGGTTATACGGAACTAACAAGTTTAATTGAAAAACTCGGTTTTTATTTTATTTACCCATTCCAACAACAAATTTTCCGAAGTGATCGGCCGTGCTGCCGCTATCCAACAGACTTTCGAGACAGTTGTTCAGGTTGACGAATCGTTGTCCCACGTTGTACGTCGAAACAGTGTATTGAATCTCCGTCGAAATGATCACGGTGTACATGAGGTACAGGGGCGCGTAGTTGATAGGACCTTTGCTCATCGTTCTGTTGTCTTTCGTTTTGCGATCCCACGCATAAAAATCAAGACCAGAGTTGAACCATAGATACGCGATGTTGCACACCGTTAAACAGATCGTGAATCTCCGAGACTTTTTCGCCGGCGATACACCGAGTTTTTCATCCACCTGAAATCAACGTTTGCGATCGTTTCGATTTTGTACGGGGGGGGAACAACAAAACTTAAGGGGAATAGTCGTTGCCCCACCTCGATTAATTTATTTATGACGACTTGAAGGTATTTCCACCGAAAAGGTGAGCCAACGATGCAAACCACGGTCAGACTCATCACTCCGAGAACATCGCTGCACGTCGCGATTATTGCTGTTCGTGATTTTAGTCTGGTGCTGTACTCCCAGCCATCCTTCAAATCTCGCCACAGTCCCCAAATTTCCAAACCGAGGAGCAGTATCAGTACGCAGAAACTGCAAAAACGATCGATCGATTAAACGGTTTGTTATTCGAATAAATATACCGACGTAAATTCGACGACTCCGGTCACATAATTTTCATTTACCTGTAGACAAGATCAATGATACTTAGGCGAGCCTGACATCTTCCAATAGTATGTGCGACGAATCTAACCGGAATCAAGCCGCACAGTTTGCCAAAGTAATATATCGGGAAGCTTGCTCGATAAAGACCACTGCGCGGCATACGTTTATCCTTTTTCCCTTCTGTCTTCGTTTCGTTATCATGCGTCCGTTTGAGCAGATTTTCTAAAAGCATTCGAGAATCATTCTCTTCGTAAATTATTCGCTCGATCGCGTTCGAAGAATTCTTTCAGATCGATTACTTTAAAAGAGTAAAACATCCACAAATTCGGTTTTACAAGGCATGAATAACCCTGGAGTAGTCTGGTAAATATTATACTAATAAACATGCTTATAGACACGTCGTTCGTATTTATTAATCGTTCACATTTTTATTCATTATAATATAAATATTATAGTATTGACAATTGTCAATATTCTAAAAATATTGAAATGATAGAAAGGAAATGTATCTTTTTATTTTTATTCCGTTCTCTTGTATCACTTGTATTTACCTAAATACTTTCGGGGTCTGACAAACCCCACCAAACCAATTATGTTAACAATGTTTAGTCAGAATACTGAAGGGTTAAGTAATGATGGATAAAACAAAAACACAGTACTCGATCTGCTCATGGTGTTTCTCCTGTCTTCATCGTTCCATCGGATGTGCATCGTGGTTGCAGCGTGCGCGCGACTTCCTCTTTTTCCAAACGGGGTTCCGTTTTCGTAGAACCTCAGAATATTCGCGACGAAGAGAGCATCTTACGGTCGAAGCACGATAAACGCGAAAATAACGAGTGACGGAAAGCGAGAAACACAGCTTTAACGAATACTTGACGTGTACTCGACGCCGGCAAATGGGTTTTTACAATGGAGATAAGTTCCTAACGATTTTTAACGATCCTACCTCTCGCAAACAAAAAAAGAAAAGAAAAAAACACATACTTCTTCACCGACATTTATGAGGGCACGAGTTTCTCTTTCTTTTTACCCTTACAGATATTGCATTCTCGCTCCACTAAACCTTAGTCACAACTACATAGATGCATTTATCCTTGTCAGATCGTCGATAGATAATTATCATTGATTGTCGCGTTCTTGGCGCGATGTTTATCCTCTTGAAAAACAACACGTTCCTCATCGTTATACACGTAGTAAATTCTTCGTATCAACTGGCACCATCGAATGATTGCCAGCCAGGATAATTGGCGGGAAGGGTACCATTTGGGAGCGATAGTGAACAATTACGGAGGATCTAACAAAATGAAGTACCATGAAACACATCGTGGAAAAAAGTCAAGGTTGTATCTAGAGTAAACAACGTGTATTCGACCTCTTGTAGGTTTTCCTTCCTCCCACTCCCTCCTAGACGGTTTGCTTTCAATCAGCGCCGTGTCCTTTCCGATGAAACGTCGCGATAGTCGGTCGCGACGGTATCGCGATGTTTGCAACGATATTCGATCAAGCTACTCGTTGTGGAACCGTGGGGAAGAGCACTCATGTTCGCAAAGTTTGTAGTTGCCTTTTTCAAGACTCTACGATCGATCGTCTTATCCACCCATTCCTTATTGATTCTGCGTATGAAATATCGTCTCATCATTCCTTAGTCTTTGTTCCTTTGTTTCGCGATTTTTGGAAGATCGAAGTGCTTATAGAACAGGGAGGATGAGCTTTCAATGAAAAGGAAAGGTATCTAAATCGTATTGAAAGTTTGTTAGATGTTACATGCATGCTAGAGTTGACGAAACGAGTGTATCAACTATGAAAGACGAAGGAGGGAAAGGGTTTATGTTCTTCTTTACTTTTTGGCGCGAACGAATTACTGATTTGGAGTGACAACTAGCGGAGATTATACGCAACTGTGCAACACCTTTGAGGTTATGTTCGTTAAATATTAGTGTCAGTGTGTGTTTGTTGTGTCGAGTCGTAGAACGTTAACCTAAACGTTTTAGCAATCACGGAGGAAAAGGATGGAACGTAACGAAGAAGAATGGTCGTTGGAATGTTCCGACGAAGAGAAGTACGAAACGGATGGAAAAGTAAGCGACATACCGTGCCTTTCTGCGCGCTTTACTCGTTCTTCTCTCTTTTTCTGTCTTTGCCTTCCGTTCGTATATAGAACGAATGGAGCTTGAAACCCGACGATATATTAACGTTGATCGAGGCTCTCGAAGCTAACAACAGGGTTTTGGAGCTAGAGTGGAAATGTCCCGGTAGAAGAGGTCCTTCTCCCGTTCTTTCAAACAATCGACAACAAGACAGTGGCTCGCAGGAGTACAAGTAAACATAGAACATCGCGTTGCATTGCAATTCTTTATCGTGTTCTGTTATTATCTGTTTACAATTTTCGTTTTTCTAGGACGCAAGAAAAGTCGGACTTCGACTTTATGGACGAAATGTCGTCACCGAGATTACCTGTTCGCAGAATAGGTGAAAGTACTCCGAAGGGAAGTGCCAAAAAGAAAACTGCCAGTTTTAATGGCGTACTATCTACTATGATGCGGCATCGCAGATTAGAGCAACAGGAAATTAATTCAAGCCCGAAAAAAACCGAGTCGCCTGGGTCCAAGACACAACAGATTTAAATATTTTTATCAACATCTATACTATTTATCCAATTATTTTAATTACTTTTGTACCATCGAACAAATTTATACGATTCCTCCAAAAGTTTGCAATAATTATTACACAGGGTATCGCATGCAACTAGATCGAGCGATAGTTTTAAAACAGTACAAAATGGAAAAAATCATTTTAAACAGAACTGTAGAGCATAGACTGTAAACAAATACTGGATGCTATACAGAGTACCCGGACCACCCATACACTTGTAAAATGAAACAATGTGGTTTTTATGGAATATCTAAACTATTTTGATAACTAAATCGGGCGTTTTATTAAATGGTAATTTCAACTTCTGGTACTAATCAGAAATGGGTTATTCATACCGAAACTAGGTTTTAATATTGTAGTTTACTGGTAAAGCGTCCTGGTGTTGACATTCTTTGTTTCCAACAAATGGAATAGTACGAAACAGAAATGGGCATACAAAAATATTTTGGTAGTTCGTTTCACGAATCAATCGCATTTCCCTTGTGTGCCATTCTGTTGAATATTTTCAGCCCACGCTGGGAATCCTTTGATGTCGTAAATGAAAGTGCCCCAAACGATGAAACAAATACATTGGACTATGATAGAGTAAATGGAAGGGCCGCAACCAGCTGCCATCAGCCATTTAGTTGGAATACGGCCGACGATCGTTATGATCGCGTTTGGTGGTGTTCCAACCGGTAACCGAAAGGAATACGAGCACATTATAGTTGCCGGTATCATCAAGTATATCGGATGTATCTTCATCGCTACACACTGCAAAAAACAAAGTGAAATACTCGTGGAAGGAGCAACGATGGGCACGCGATATTGTTTCCGAATATTATGGCTCACCATTTGAGCGATAACAGGCAAAGTAATGTTCGCGATGCCGACGTTCGAAGTAAATTCCGTGATGGTGCCATTAAATATGCAAATGAGAATAAGGATCAGTTCAGAGGGCAAGGACCGTAACGGTACCAAGGCATCTCCGATTCTTTTGGCCAAACAGGAAGCGATGCTGCCTTTGGATATCGCGAATCCACCGCCCAACAGGAACATCAAACTCCAAGGCATCTTCGATTGGATCACCTCCCACGTAATCAATCCCTCCGAAGCTTTCTCGGGTCTTTTAGCAGCTGTGAACACGAATAGATGTCAAGAACGGTCATTTGAGTCGGATAAAAGAAAACCGATACAACTTGTTTCTTACGATCTTTGCTGAAGCTGTAGATAAAACTTGGATCTTTCGGGATAAAGAACATCAGGATGGAGACCAATATAACCGGCGTGGAATCCCGGATGTCTCTGTAAGCAAATTCGCGTTCACCAGTTCAACGATACCGTGCGATCGGCGAGAAGACAATTTCAGGGCGAAAAGTTAGAGAAAAAAACTTAAAAAATGAAAGTTTGAAATCACAGATAAAAAGATATTTCACATATCCGTTATCGCCTCGGACCATCCACGCACGAAGCCGGGCTTCCGGAATATCCAAAGAAATATACAGATCACGAAAAGGATGGCGACCGCTGCTTCGTGAAACGAAATAATACCTAATTCCTTGTATCTCTCGTGTATCACCTGGCATAAAGAACGGGAGTAAATTGCTACGAAAATTAATCGACGTCTGTTAGGTCGGGGAAAAGGATCGAGATCAAAGAATGGCTTCCGTTAATACTGTATTTATACTGTTTGTTACCCGGTTAGTAATTGCCTCTCCTTCCTCACCGATAGTTGCTTCTTGCGCGTCTTTGCTTTGCGGTCTGAGATATCCCATGAAAGTTATACGAAGATATAGCCACGTTATAAACGAATTAATGACCATTTGGGGGATATTAGCGGCCATCCACTGTGTAAAATTAATGCCCTCGGCGGTGGGGAAAGTGCTTTCGTATATTCCCTTAAACGTAAGGTTGGTACCCGTTCCCACGATGGTCCCTGTTCCGCCAAAGGTCGAGCAATACGCGGCAGCCATTAAGTAAGCCTTGGTCACCTTCGTCGGTATCATTTCTCTGCGATTTACAGCAAGAACTGCGTATTTTCTTGTTCATCGATGCCTTTCTATTAGTTTTCTTCTTTTATACTCACGGTTCTGCTTGCGGGTGTTCCGGGTCCACTGGCATTTTGTTAAAGATTTTACAAAGTCCTGCCTATTGACGTGGAGAACGACTTAATTAGAAAAATTGCTTGGATGTATACGTTTAAATTTAATTCGTCGTGATGATTGCAATGTTTAACCTGCTCTAATTCGTGGAGAACAGCAAATATAATCGGTACCATCATGGCGGTGGCTGCTGTATTCGAAACCCACATAGATATGAAAGTCGTCACAACGCAAAAACCGGCGAGTAATTTTGCATGAGTACAGCCGACCATCTTCATTACACCGAGAGCGATTCGTAGATGGAGGCTGCTATGTTCTATGGCTACCGCGAGAATCAGGCCCCCTATGAATACCATTATGGTGTCGTTCATGTAACAGCTGCACGTGTCCGCCGTGCTCAGCACTCCTAATATCGGAAATAACACCAGCGGGATAAGGGAGGTGACTGCCATGGGGAAACATTCGGTGATCCAATATCCACCCATTAACAGTACTACGGAAGCGCATCTAACTTCCTAAAAATATCGCGAGTCAATGTCTTATAATTCACCATATTTGGACATTTTTCTGTTAATTAACTACGTACCGGGAAATTGTAAGCCAAAACGAACGCTAGCAAAAAAATTGCCCACACTATGGCGAACACTATTTTCCAGTAGATTTTAAAAAACCTCAATACGAGCAACAAATTGTCTTTACGCTCGTTTCTTCCTCCTTCATCTTCTCTCTCGGCCATGTTTTATTCGTTTTTATATTTATGATTTGTTCTGTTCAACAGTTCGTCGAAATAAAAATTTTGTTCGTCTTCGTTTACACGATGTCGGTAAGTGACATTAAATTGCTATTGTAACCGATTGTTTGTTCGTATCTAAGCACGTATTCCTCTACATACGCCTCTTTTATAGATACTCTGAATGTGGTCGAGCGTGCATTTGATAGTTCTGTTGTTTCGTCAAATTAAATATTTTTCTTGTCTTTGATCGAATTATCGCATTATTCCAGTTTACCACAGGATAGTAAATCGCGCGTTACCTTGCGCCAATATTTATTATACAATATCATATACCTCGTCTGTGGGTTTGGCACAGACGAGGTATATGAATAGACCTTTCACCTAATGTAATTTTACGGCCCGAGTTTCTGGGGTCCCGGGACCCCATTACCATTTTCGTGTCGCTCGCAACGTTACCAACAGATTCAGAAATGAATTTTAATCCCTTTCATAGTCAACACATATGGATTTACGCAAAACTACAGCTGCTTGCCTATCAATACTAATTCAGTGAATAATTTTTCAACTGACCGCCATCCATGAGAAGAGGACGCTGAAATCACCTCCGAATTTTTCGCTCAGTATGGCAATTGTTCGAACTGACGTACAAAAAGACAAAAATTAACGAGATACACTCTTCCAAAGTGGAACAAAATGTTAAAAAGATCATGCATCAAATTGTAAGGGAATCCTCGTAAGAAGGCTTTAATCTTCGTAATGGTTTTAATGGGTCGATGATCAACAATGACTAGCTTATGGTCACTGGTGGTCAACAGTGAGGTGGACATCAAGGTCAGCGGTCCAGTGAAGATCCAGAAATGGTCAATAGGTGGGACCAATCGAAATAGTTTCTTTGTAGACGAGACAGTCTTACCTGTTATCTTCAACTTTGGCTCTGACTGGTCTCCCCACCCTTTCATCACCTTAGCCATATAAGCAGGGTCACTGCGAAGATTTCTTCAGTCGCGTCGCGAATTCGGGAGTGTACAAATCGCAAGAGGAGAACCGGGGACCGCTGCTGACCTCTGCTGGCCGCTGCTGACCTCTACTGGCCAGCGGTGACCACAGCTGACCATGGCTGACCAATACTGACCAATACTGACCAATACTGACCACTACTGACCAGTGCTGATTCGCGTTCCTGCCACTACTGACCACTACTGACCAGTGCCGGACGGTGATGACCAACGGTAAGAACTGTTTAAAAATTCTCTCCCCTCTTCTATTCTATCATTTGATGCCAATTTTGCTTCAATGAACTGATTTTGCCTTGTTTATCTAACCGATGTTGCTATAATATGAATATTTTCTTACTTTACAGCTGGCCCTTATGGTAACTACCCTATGTACTGACAACAAGTAGTAAGTCCACTCCACTTATTTATATTTTATTATTTTTATTTGTTTGTTTGATGTGAATTCAACTTTATTTATCTATCTGATTTTATTTGGTTATTATGAATGTTCCTTATCTCTGTTTCTACTTTTACATTGTTTTGCGAATTTATGTGACTGCTTCGATATGTATAATATTGCAGGATATAATAATATAATATTGTTTTCAATCATACACTATATTTGTTTCTATACAAATTCATGAATTCATATTTTTACGTTCTTGCTCGAATTCTCGTAATATTCTACGGAGGTACTTTGTTCGATTCTTCCATTTCGTTTGATTGTTTGGTGTTGATTCAATTTGGTGTCTCGATCCAAGTTTCCTTCATTATTAGGAGTGTTCGTTTTGATATGAATAACATTGCGTCAATGTATATACCGTATTTGTTTCGATGTCTCTGACTCGTTTTTTCGTTCGTGTTCGTTGTTCGACGCTGATTAATATAAGATTTTTATTTTTACTTCTCGGCTTAAATTCTTGTAACATTTTGCTAATATACTCTGTTCAATTCCCTTTAGCTAGGTGATAGATCATTTTAAAGTGTTTATTAAATTTCCTACCATATCTCACTAATATACATATGAGTTTTGATTTCAGTTTAAATTTGGGTTAATCGCAAGGACATCGAGGGAGAACGCCACAACCGCCGAGGGACCTTTAATTGCAAGTTGATTAGTCTTAAGCTTCGTCGCGAGTATTAAAATTAACGTCGAAGCCTTCTTTATTGTACGTATCTCCGCGTCCTACCAAGCAATTATTCAATAAGTAGCTTGTCTCTCGCTCGTTCCCTCGTTCCTAGCTTCGGTCACCGCTGTTTCATCGATTGAAACATGTGATCGGCCGTGTAGCTGATCCGAAAGATCTAATCGCCTTCCCATTGGTAGCTCGATCCAGGGAAAATGGTACTTTGCTGGAAGGTGTGGAGTTTCCGTATCCTGCGGAAACGCATACCTTCCAGCGAAAGTCGACACTGTTTCAGGTACTCTCTCTATGTCAGACAACTTGAGTCGGGTCCTTCGGGCTCCCGGCGGGTTGCGTTGGAGCAATGGAGACCTTCGATTCGGAGTCGCAGCCGTCCGTTATCCCATAGAGATCTAGTTAGCAAGGGCAGTAGGTTCGATCCTCGGATCCGCTGCACGGTTCAGCGTCGCGTCGCGTCGCTTCGCGTCCCCCTCAAATTAACTTCGTCCCTCTTTTTAACCAAATAATTGCTTGGTACAACTAAACCAGAACATCCAAGGAACTTTGTTTCCTTCTATCGTCCGAATTTTAGTTTTAACTTGACCAGACTCGAGCTTCGACGTTAATTTTAAGTCCCTATTGTATGCGTCTCCCAATATTGCCAAGTAATTATTTAACAAGTAGCTTCTCTCGACTCGTTCTCTGGTTCCTAGCTTCGATCACCGCTGTTTCATCGATCGAAACATGTGATCGGCCGTCCAGTTTGTCCGAAAGATCTAGTCGTCTACCCATGATGGATCGATTTCTAGAAATAGAAATCAATCTACCAAGGGCAGTGTCGATTCGATCCGAAGATCTGCCGCACGGTTTAGCATCGCGTCGCGTCGCGTATCCCGCAATATAGCTTCACCCCTTTTCAAACGAAATAATTACTTGGTACAACTAAACTAGAAGATCTTCTATCTCTCTAGTTTAGTAATCCAGCTAAGCTTAGCTAAAAGGGAGATAGTTGGAACTTCGATTCCATCTATCTCCCTTTGGGTCTCCACTCGCAGCAACCTCCACGTGGTGAGACCTGGGGATTATTATTTAGTATGTAATTAATACAATTATTAATTACATAACAAATAATATGATCTAATGGCTGCGTTTTTCAGAAACCATTCCATTTGTCGTAACAATCGCGAAAGTATTTCGTTGTGTATTAATTTCTCACAAAAATTCAGATACACTCGTCAACTACAGATCGATTTAGGATTAGATCACAGAAGCCCGTAAGGTAAGGTGTACTTCTATACCTTAGGTCGGTATTTTCCGCGGGTAAAACCATTGTGACTGGTGCATTATCGATGAGGAAATATATTAAGGAGCTAAATTTCGAGCGGGACCTTTAAAGTGACTGCTTGATTTAGAATCTTATATCTTACATTCTTTAGACGTTCTGTACATTAGTTTAGTCTTTCTATATACATCAACTTTGTACGTACAACATATTTAAAAATATAAATAGTGTTACCACTATGTATAATAAGAGCATTTTTATACATGGTGAATAAATTAAAACAGTATTTATTACAAATAAATTACAAGAATATGTTACAAATAAGTTATAGATATAGAACAATTAAATGTAGAAACATTTAAATCTAACCGCAGTCGATTAACTCGAATTATTCCTTGTATAATTAATCGTTTTATTATATATAATAGTTTCTGGTAATGCGATACAATTCGTAGATTTTCTCTTAAACTAATTATCTCGTATTTTTACAAAATTTGCTATAGATGGGGACAAAAAAATTTGTCATGAAATTGTTAAAAGTTGCTTTCTAATATCTGGGGGTGTGCTCTGAAGATAGTCCCTTTGAAACGATGATTCGTAGATCCCTAAAAATAGGTATACGAGATTGAAAAAATTTGCCTATGCTAATCAGTTCTTACCTGTTAGATTTCCTTCGGTGTAGATTCATTTTGCTGCAGTCTTAGAATCAGAAATTTTAGTACAGTGGAACCTCTATTACATAGCTCTGACCAATGGGACCCTTGTAATTTTTCGGTCGTTTACGATTACGATTTGGGGATGCACAGGATGAATCGAAGGAAAGAAAACGTTCATATTCGACTTGCAAATTTTATTTGTTCTCGGCATGAAAATGCATTGGTTCATAAACATTGTAATCGTTATACCCCTATCCCTTCGAAGATCGATTCTCAGCAGCGTTTTCTCGGAGATACACGCTACGATTAGATTATCGACTGGTGCTCGCTTGATATTAGTTCGCCTATGATTAACAGGATTGAAGTTCATCGATTTTTTTTACTTATTAGTGCCGTGATCCGCACCGCGCGCGTATCCGCCATACGTTGTTCGTCCCAAACACGGTCGTTTCTCTTTAAAAATATGTGCTACATTTTATGGTTTCTTTTCTCATCGCTATATTAATATATAATAATACGTATATATACAACTCGCATTGTTAACCGCGCCTCGTATGTTTCTGAATAACAACTCGTTTGTTACAATCGATGCTCCGCAATGATATCGAATCCAAATGGAAGATTTTTATCATTCTTGAACATCATTCGTTTTACAAGTTTTTGTTTACTTTTTTTTTTTTCTTTTTTTTGTTCGTTTTCAACGTTTTTATTGGCATTACTCGTTTTACGTTTACTGTTTACGTTTTCGCCTGTTTTCATCTTCCTTTAAATCGTCTACCGCTACGGTATCTTCGGAATTGATTAGATATTGACTACTTTCAAGATTCGTTGCGTGGGAATTGTTTCTTTTAGATTTTACACAACGCTGGACGATAGCGTTCGATCGTTTCTCGCGTTCGACGGTGTCGTGCTGGCGTTCGTTTCCCCGCGTTGTTCACGATCATAT